ATTTGATGAATGAAATGGGAGCATTGGAGCGATAAGGTCTTCACCCAGTTGTAAATCAATTTACACCCAATTGGGATTTTGGAATGTCATGTCAACGTAAAGTGGCAACCATTTGAAAAAACTTTAAAACTTTTTTTATCCTGTACTGTGAGAGAAGGAGCAGGGGGGGGGTTGATGTTGATTAAACGAATAAATTCTATGAAAACCAACATTAAAAAAGGGAAGGTTAAAAACACCACAACATCATATCTTCCTTGCTTTGACATGGCTAATATTTATTCTTTATCTATTTATTATTGTGTGTGGCTGACGTCATTTTAAAGGTGTCACTGGGTGTATTGTTTGTTACAAAGCCCCAAACATGCCCTATTTTGAATAATATGTTAAGGTGACCTGATGTTTTGAATCATGAAACAGGGTGGAAAAAAAGGGGAATTGGCAAGGAATAAAGTAAACAGACATATTATTGTCAAAACTTGTAATTCTATCATGTAGGAACGTAAAGTAGCTTGTCAAATTTTGTAGAGAGAGAAATGTGGAAATAACAATTAAAACAGGCATGCAGTTGAAATTATATAGAAATGCAAGAAAATGAAGAAGGTTATAAACTTTTAGGGAGAATGTGTGGGATAAAGTGAATAGGCATGTATTCTGTATTCCATAATAGGCTAATGAAGGTACAGTATGAAATCCTGTGCTAAGGGCTAAAAAGTCAGTCTACCCCAGTAGGGATCGAACCCACGGCCCCTCACTTTCCAGGCGATTGCTCTACCATTACATGCCCAGTTTCCTGGACCCAATAAAACATATTCAAAAATCAGGCAGAGGATTAAAGAGAATTAGAACCAATGGCGTGATTAAGGCAATCTTTTCTCGTACCAACCAAGAAAATATATTTTCTGTAAATTCTACAGGCACATTAACGTTTCACATATTGTTCTCTCCCCTTCCAGTCCAAGACCCCACTTATTTCCTCCCTTTAACCTGTGATAATGATGGTGTGTGGGGGCACCTATTTCCTCCCATTAACCTGTGATAATGATGGTGTGTGGGGGTACCTATTTCCTCCCATTAACCTGTGATAATGATGGTGTGTGTGGGCACCTATTTCCTCCCATTAACATGTGATAAAGATGGTGCATGGTATGGGGGGTTAACACGCACATTTTCCTTTTTGCAATTATGCATTTAACAACATGTCAGATATCATGTCCTAAAATTAAATAGTCTTAGGTGTTTTTTCTGCAATTCATATCTTTGAAAAAAAAGCTATGACCTTCATTTATCAAACTCATTGAAAGCACTGAAAAGAGCTGTTTATGATTTATACACCTATATTTAAAACCAGGGAACTTTCCCTATTTCGAAATCTGAATTTGTATAAATATATGCATTTTATTGCATATTGTCATATTGTATATACAGTGTACTGTATGTATTCCTCATTGTTCTCATTTAAATCTTAATGATCTGCTTAATTTTCTACCCTGAGTACAGAGTCATATTTACTTCCCCTCTTGCATGCTATTAGTAATTTAGTAATTACTTCCTTTTTGGACATGGTAGTAATCAAGTATCTTCCCCTCATTTGCAATTTGCATGTTATTAGTAATTTAGTAATTACTTCCCCCTCATTTGCATGTTATTAGTAATTTAGTAATTACTTCCCCCTCATTTGCATGTTATTAGTAATTTAGTAATTACTTCCCCCTCATTTGCATGTTATTAGTAATTTAGTAATTACTTCCCCCTCATTTGCATGTTATTAGTAATTTAGTAATTACTTCCCCCTTATTTGCATGTTATTAGTAATTTAGTAATTACTTCCCCCTCATTTGCATGTTATTAGTAATTTAGTAATTACTTCCCCCTTATTTGCATGTTATTATTAATTTAGTAATTACTTCCCCCTCATTTGCATGTTAGTAATTTAGTAATCACTCCATCTTTTACATGTTCATAATTATCAGTTTCTTCTTCGCATTGAGGTATTACCAGAATCAACCTATATGTACCTTACCCCCCCCCCCCCCCCCCTCATTCCCTCTATGGTTATAGGGAGGAAATAGGTTGGGGTCTATATAGTCCTTCCTTCTTGACAAGACTATTATAGCACACGGATAAGAAGGGAAATCAAACGAATGAAAGGGTTAGTGGTTATTCACTTTCTTGCATTTTGCACAATTTTGTTTGTAAACTACAAGCTTGGTTTTATTCAAACTTTCGAAAAGGGGACTTTTTCATTCTTATTTATTAGAGGCTCTCTTTATCTAAAGCTTGGCTTTTTCAATGGATATAGCAAAGATTGTAGATCCTACAAAGGGGCTATTGAGTAGAACAATACATATTTGGTTTGAATCCTTGACCAAATTTTTAGCTGTATAGATTTAGAAATATGTATTTACAAATCCTTTGTTTGTTTGTGAGGACACATATTATTTGTTTACATTCAACAGGTCATTTGAGATAAATAAGTCAACATATACATTCATGTCCAACCAACTATTTCTTAATCAATAAAAATTTTAATTCTAAAATGGAAACTTTTTCTCTCACTCTGTTCCATCAGTTTTAGATGTTTATCATGAAAAGCATAGTGAGAAATCAATGGTTCAAAAAAGTATCTGTTCTTTTGAAAAAGCTGCTAACATAAAAGAAAGATTTGCTTTAGGCTATTTAAATGCGGACAAAGTAATTCTTTCCACAAGATTTAAACTCTGATCTCTAATATAGTCATATTAAAAACTAGAATATGGATAAGATTTTCAACCTTTTTGTTTTTTATTTGAGTAAAATTGAACTTAGTACTGCTTGGTCTAAAGTCAATGAGTTTGTGTTGTTTTGAAAATGTCCTTGTTTACACCAATCATATAACAAAATATTGTGAGAGCCATTTTTAAATTGCAAAATGGGCAAGAAAAGAGTGGAATTAGCAAGGAATTGAGTAAACAGGCAGATAGTGAACACTCTAAATTGTATAGAAATGCAAGAAAATCAAATACTTCATACAAATTTTAGAGAGAAATGGAGTGAAATAAGCATGACCTTGAAATGATGAGGTGCAGCCTGACTCAACAAGTACTCAGTACTCTGTACTCAGTACATATCAATTAATAACCAGAACAACGGCAACGCCAAAGCGTAGCGAATCCCATCGAACAGAAATGGCTGGCATTTTTACAAACGAAATATATAGCAAATATCATAAAACAACACACCAGAAAGGCCACCATTTTCAAAATGGTTAGCCAAGTTGTCATCAGAAGAAATAATATGCTTTTAGTAGCCACCTATAAAATTTTTGAAAAATCGCACACATGAACTTGTGAAATAAGTAAAAAATGTAGAAATGACAGCCATTTTTTAAAATGGCCGCCTACTATCCGAAGTGTCATGAGACAGTGTGCAAGGCTCATGAGTATTCACATATCAAATATGAACAAAATCGTTTCACTACTTTTCAAGTTATAGTAAAAACGTAAAAATGGTGGTCATTTTTCAAAATGGCTGCCTACTACCCAAAGTGTCATTAGACAGTGTGCCATGCTTATAGTATTCACATATAAAATATGAAACATACCAAATATGAACAAAATCGCTGAACTACTTTTCAAGTTATAGTAAAATATGTTAAAATGGCAGCCATTTTTCAAAATGGCCACCTTCTACCAAAAGTGTCATTAGACAATGTGACATGTTTATAGCATTCACATACCAAATATGAACAAAATTGCTTCACTACTTTTCGAGTTATTGTAAAATATGTTAAAATGGCGGCCATTTTTCAAAATTTTTTCAAAATGGCTGCCTTCTACCAAAAGTGTCATAGGATAGTGTGCCATGCTTATAGTATTCACATACCAAATATGAACAAAATTGCTTCCCTACTTTTCGAGTTATAGTAAAATACGTTAAAATGACGGCCATTTTTCAAAATGGCCGCCTTCTACCAAAAGTGTCATAGGACAGTGTGCCATGCTTATAGTATTCACATACCAAATATGAACAAAATCGCTCCACTACTTTTCGAGTTATAGTAAAATATGTTAAAATGGCCATTTTTCAAATTTTTTTTCAAAATGGCCGCCTTCTACCAAAAGTGTCATAGGACAGTGTGCCATGCTTATAGTATTCACATACCAAATATGAACAAAATCGCTCCACTACTTTTCGAGTTACAGCAAAAATCGTAAAATAACGAGTAAAGGCAGCCATTTTTCAAGATGGCTGCCATGTGCTTTTTTAATATCTACATTTGTAGCTTTATTAATGTCCTTTATAATTTGTTTACACTTAAAACATATTGCTATTACAGTTCTACATATTGTACCTAAATTACTGTAAAATCAGCACTAAAATGGCCGCCATTTTGAAATGAGCGGCCATTTTGAAAATCGGCTTTCGAGCAGAACTTCTACCCCCATAGGGTATATGTGTACAAAATATGAACAAAATCGGGCCAACGGTATTTGAGTTATTGCCCGGACGGACGGACAGACGGACGTACGTACGGACGGACGGACGGACGGACGGACGTACGGACGGACGGACGGACGGACGGACGGACGGACGGACGGACGGACGGACGGACGGAGGCGTTCCCTATATCCCTCCGAACTTCGTTCGATGGGATAATGACTACATGTTATCATGTATTGCGCATGTGATACCCTTTGTTTACCAAAAACAATGCATGAAGGGAAGGAGACTACCCTGGTACTGATGGGCTAGTACTATTAGAGATAACTACACTGACTTGGTTAAAATGAGAGAGGATCACCATAGTGATTTATCCTTTCCCTTACAACCAGTACAGCTAGTTACCGATTCCTGTTTCTTTGTGTCTTAGATTAGTTCGTGGTATTGAAGAATTTTTGGGATATGGAAGAGTTTTGCATTTAGATTTTTCATTTTCTTTCGTAGTTCTTAAATCTTTCATGATTTGGCATTTGAGTTTATATATTTGTTTTTATACAATTTTTGATATTTGTGTTTTGCAGGTTGGAAATACTTTATATGGGCGGCAATAAAATTAAAGAAATACCAGCTGGTATTGGTAACCTAGTGAACCTACAGTCATTGGTCCTTTGTGATAATCGTCTACATACTATACCGCCATCTCTTGGCCAACTCACAAACCTGAAATCGTTAAGTCTTCACCACAACGATATCTCACTTCTTCCGCTAGAAATCGTCAAACTGGACTTGATCGAGCTTTCTTTACGGAACAATCCACTTGTTAATAAGTTTATTAAGGACTTGGTGTTTCAGCCACCTTCTTTGTTAGAGTTGGCGGGGAGGAGCGTGAAATTAAACAAGGTACCTTACTCCCAAGAGGATTTGCCCCCGACTTTATTAGAGTACCTTGACATGGCAAAGAGCTGCATTAATCCAAAATGCAAAGGTAAGAAACCTGACATTTTTCAGATATTTTAATTTGGCTATATTATTTTACTCATACATATTTTACTCATATCATGGCTAATTGATTAGCTTTTACTCAAACCAATCAGATTGTATTTATTTATTTTGTTGGCCAATCAGATTATAGACATACTTACATGGCTTGACTTACATCGCTCCACTTGTCTATCTATCCATCAGTAATTTATTTGAACCATGTATATCTCAGTCATATTATGCAGGTGATTTATGCCATTGGTGCCGGCTACTGCTTTTATTTTTGAGCAATGAGCCCCACAAACACAGCCATTTTTATGTTGACCAATTAGATTAAAGGTACAAGTAGCCAATCAGATTGCAACATTTACATCTCAAACATATTTTTACATTTTTCTATACCTTGCAATTCAGTCAGACCTATCACATGCTTTTTTTATAACAAACTAAAATAATTGTAAAACCTAATAAAATAAAAATTTATCGTCATGTTTTTCAGGGGTATACTTTACTTCAAAAGTGGAGCATGTAAAATTTGTGGACTTCTGCGGAAAATTCCGCATCCCCCTCCTGCAATACTTATGTTCCCCGAGTTGTTCAACGAGCAGCCCACACGTCTATTGGAGCAGCGAGAGTGACACGGAGGATGAATCTGTCCCCGTAAACAGGATGAAGAAAGTGCTTCTGGGATAGCTTGTTTAATTTTGATTGGTGGAGAGATCAAATTTGCATGAATTTATTTGCTGATAGTGGCAACTGGAATAAAAGATATTGAAGATTTGGTATATGCTTATTTAGATATGGAAAATGGCTTCTTGGACAGCTTCACTTTGCTTGATTTTGATTGGTCAAAAGATCAGATCAAACTGGATTGATGCAATGGCTACTGAAAATTCGTAAACTGAATGTTCAGGAATACTAAATGAATACTGGTGCTTCATGACAGCTGAAATTTTGATTTTTTATGTTCAAAGAAGTTGTAACCATTTGACGTTTGAAAAATACTACAGGTAATTGACAGAAACTTTGTAAGGTAAAAATTCCATTATAATGTTCTCGTATTATGACATCATTATATCCATGTTACAATTGATAATAATCCATTTTGGAATTCTTAACTTTATACAGTTTCTGTGATGACATTTTGTCAATTTCATTATCATTCAATTGTCAATAAAAGAAATATATATCCATCCGTCAACAGTCAAATGGATTACATTACTCATATTTCTTATATTTTTGAGAAATTCCTCAAAATGATGTCAAGTAGGAGCATAAATGATAGCTGTAATTCTTAACCTTAACAAGTTACATTTCATGATCATGGACTTTCAAGAGAAGTCATGTTATTATGAATAATTCATGGTGACCTAGGATGAGAATTACTGCATGGAATTGTGAAGCCACTAAGCAAATCATACTGTATACTCTTAAACCAGCATTAACACTTATATTTAAAATTAATTTGAGTAACATTACAGGGATGAACAGTTGTGGAAAATAAAAATATTTTTTTACGGGTGGGGCAAATTTTCTTCATAAATTTTGGGGTCAGTAGAGCAGAAAATCAAAATGGCCACAACTGTTGACATTCTGACAACACCCATGGTTGACTTTGATGTGAAGTATTGCTATAGATTTTTATTAGGTCTAAAAAAGTTGGCAGCGATGGTCAAAGTTTTGTATATTATCTTTATGTAAACCAGCACTGGCATCTTTATTTAAATATAGTTTCTACCACCCTTTCGCGAATGAATACTACAAAGGGTGAATTCACCCATATAATTTATTGCTATGTTTGATGTCAAACTTGCAATAACTTAATGGCCATTAAAGGACAACTGAAATAGCTTTTCTCAACTTGCAGCTACAAAAATGCGTTCTCCATTGTAAGCCCAACGTAGAGTTCTTGCGATAGCCATTATAAAATAAATGTTAGATAACTGCTAACGGTCATAAATAACGTCACAACCAATTCGAATATTGCTTATTAAGCAGTTATAACAATCGTTAGAGTGAAATAGTTTTCACACTACTGATGAGAAAACATGTCCAAATACATCTATCAAAAAATTATATTGATTCCTTTAGGTTAAAAATACCATTTCATATCTGCTTTAATTAATGAAACCAATTCATAGACATTGGTGCCAAAATAATACTGAAAATGTCTATATTGAAAATTACTCCGATGCGAGTAGGTAGTTACCAGTTTCGCCACCAGGTGGCTGATTTGGGGGAATTAACATGGCAGGGTATTACAAAATTCCCTTAAACTTGAATATGCATCAGTTTTGGTGGTTCACTTTTCATATTACCCTTATGTATCTGATAGTTATATAAATTAAAGTATATGTCCAGTAAAAGGAAATATTATCTGCCCAACACAACAAAAGATATTTCACTTTTTGTGGTTTTACAACATGGGGTCTATGGGGAATCTCCCCGACCTAGAAGTCACATTTTCAAAGAAAATTAAAATTTCAAAGTTGATAAACTCTTTTCAAATCCACATTTCTAAATGTAATTTTACATGTAGATTCCAAATATGACATCAGTTTGAATTGTGAATTTTTAATGGCGTAAACCAAGATTATTTCTACTCGCATCTGGGATATTGTCAATACAACGGAATAAAATTTTCATAGCTGAAGGGTATTGACTAAGAAATGCTAAGTTATATCTTGGCAAAACAATATTTAATCAATTTCAATGTGATATAAACAGTTTGCTTTATGATTACTCAGGCAGCAAAATTAATTAATGTCACAGTCTTCTCGTCTTTAATATTATACGATGTATCTTCGCATAAATTATTGTAGCAGTACAAATATGAAACCCATCTCTCTTCTCAGGTAATGGTGATATATTTTGTATTTCTTTCAATATATGATAGAATTATATAATTTCTTATGAACAATAATGAGACTGAGTTCTAAACTTATTTCTTATCATTTATTGTCATAGGCTGTAGTTACCAGAGATCCGCATCCATGCAAAATGTGAAGATATTTTAATTGCTATTTTAATTTTGCATTTATAGTGTAATTAAATCATGTATCATAATGATTCCATACCAAACTCAAAAAGTCAATTTTTATGTCACCACCAGAAGTGGTGACTTATTGTTATAGTCTCTAACTTTTTGTGGATGGTGTTTGGCAGTTGTTGTTTGGTATTCAGCGACTTTAACAAATGATAGGTTGTGACATTTTGCATGTTAATGCTGCCTGGTTGGTTAAAGGAATATCAAACATGTTGTGATGATTTTTAGAGGTTTCTTTTATATTTCCATCTTGTGCTTTTAGGGTAGTGATATCAAACTCAGGTGATCAGATGATTTCTCATTTAATAAGTCCCAATAAATGGACAATAAAGTTTAAAGGGGCAGAAATGTCCAAAAAGATATGAAGGGAGTGTCGGATTTTCTTAAAATTAATCATACACGCTTGAAAATCAAACCATGGTGTTTTAGAAAAAGGCATTGCAAACAATGATGCAAGGAAAACAAATTGTGAAGTTGGGATCAGGTCTTCTATTCTTTGTAGCACCTTTTACACTGCATTGTCTTTATTTTGATTTAGATGAGTAACCTCATAAACTGATGGATAAATCAGTCACAGAAGAATTCCTGCAATAAACTTCATCTTTGCTTTTTCTATCCTCCTAAGCAGGTGTCCAGAATCCGTACCTCCTTCTTCCCCCCTGCTATAAGCAGTTAGCATTTCCCTGACTAAGAACTCGCAATTTGATTTGTTGCGACAGCAATCATGTATACATCATCGGCGCATAATTAGATCACGTGATTCAGTTTAATCGGGCGCTTCCAACTTGGTTATAGCAGGGGGTTAAAAGAAAGAAGATATTCTGAATTTTGAAGCCCTGTGATCGGAGGATGCGCTTTTTCTCTTTAAAATACTTTTTAGTCTATAAAATATTTTAAAATGGCTTTTTTAAATCATTTCATTGAATTCAAAAGGTAACAATTCATACAATTACTGCCCTCTAGTTTGCCAGCATCATATATTCAATAATATGTGCTTTTTGTACCCATATTATTCTAAGGTTATCAGTTCAGTGATATGAGATTCACTTTTCATTTGTAATTATGCAATGCAATATTACTGTATTTAATGCAATATTACTGTATTTAATGCAATATTACTGTATTTAATGCAATGTTACTGTATTTTATGCAATATTACTGTATTTAATAACTCATTTGTGTCTTCCTTTGTGGAATGCAAGCTTAATTAAAAAAAAAATAAAGCTTTAATAAAATAAAAAGACCAATAAAAATAGATTTCTGTTTATAACAATTTTTGTTATTATTAAATAAATATTACAATGAAAATGTGCAAGTTAGGAATTTAATCTAACTTTCAAAATAGGCCGGGGCTCAGAATGACATATTATCGGGTGTCCCAAGAAAAGTGAATCACTTTTTGACAAGTATTTTCTCGGCAATTGATACTAAAATCAAAATTTTTCATTACGTAGCCTAAGGGTATCATTAGCAAGTTGTACAAATATGAAAAGATCGGTTAGGTATTTTATGATGATCTTAAAAAATCATGTCCGAAAAAATACAATATCGGAGATGCACAATGAGTAGCTAACAATGAGACCTTCATTGAGTTTGTGCCTGCTATCAAGTGTTAACATTCATGAGGCTACAATTGAACCACTTCCAACATTCATAAGGATGGGACAATCATGTCATGGCAGGCGATATCAATGGCAAAACACACAAAAGCATTCTGCTCAGAAAAACAGCTCATTTCAGACTGAAATAAGTGACTTTCCATGATATTAGAAGTATTGGCTCATTTCAGACTGAAATAAGTGACTTTTCCATGATATTGGAAGTATTGGCATGATATTTTTGATTTGAGAATACAGTACTCGCATAATATGCAAACCAATCTCTTTCATATTTAAAGCATTTGCTAATAATACCCTATAGTTCATTTATACATATTTTTAAATAATTTGGCTTATCTCTAGCTTAGAAAATACTTGTTGAAAAGCGGTTCACTTTTTTGGACACCAAATAGGTCTCTTTATATTCTGTTCACAAATCCATACATTTACAATTTTCTTCCAAAGAGTTTAAAAGTAACTCAAAAAAGTAAGAATCTATCATACTTCATCTCTGTAACATGTTTAAATGTTTGAATACTCTGCCAAAATGTCAATAATATGATTTTTAAAAAATATCTGTAGAATGAGAATTTTAAAATGTCCCATCACCGAAGATTAACTCCAGAGCAGCTTGAACATTTCCCCCAGTGGCTTGGAGCGCCCGTAATGCAGTAGCTTCATCACTTATTCCCATATCATGTAGCTGTTGCAACTGTGACTGAAACCAAAAAGCAGAATTAGATACGGAATACGATATTGAATCTACAGTGGAAGACGGCTACTAGATCTGAGATTATGCTTCACCTGTCAGTAATAACTGGAATTTTTTTCCCATAATGCAACATTCTCAGCAGAGGTTATACAATCATGAAAACTTTTAAGAAGTAATGTATTATTCTCATACATGTAATGCCATATTCAAAGCAGATGTTATACTGCTATGGGTTCTGTAATAATGTGACTCCCATAATGCAATATAGCAGACGTTTACTCAATAATTCTAGATTGCAACATATAAATCCCATAATGCAATATTTAAAGCAGACGTTTACTCCATAATTCTAGATTGCAACATATAAATCCCATAATGCAATATTTGCAGCAGACGTACACTCAATAATTCTAGATAAACATATAAATCCCATAATGCACTAATTGAAGCAGATGTAATCCAAACCTGTAAATTTTCTCTCGTCATGGCAGAAGCTTCAGTACTGCCCCCTGGTGGAGCTCCACTTGCAGCCTGAAGAGCATAGCGGATGAAATCGTTTGTGATCTGATTGGCTGACGCTGATGAATTGTCAGGCCGTGAGGTTGAGTTAGAGGAAGATGATTGGTCCTGGAAAAATAAAAATGCAATAATCATTGTTGCTATCAAGTCAGTTGGATGGGATTTTAGAAATTGTTATCGAACTTATGCATGTTTCTTTTCTATAGCTGTTTTGTGGAAGAATCATTAACGCATAAAGTATATATCTAAATGGTTGTCCTCGAAATAAACTCATAAAAATGTGGCAAAAATCATGTTTTTATTTCGTCTACTTTTTAATGAAAATAGTAATAGGCCTTCTACTACTTCCTGTGACTCCAAGTCATCAAATTCATTGAGAAATCAAGAGATGAACAGCCAAGAACACAATAATTGCGGGTAAGTAGAAATATTTACTTTTCATGCACAGTTAAAGTGAATTCTGAAGAATTCTGGTACATGTACAGAATCACATAAAATTGAGATGAGTGTTTCTATGTGCTAGGTGTCTGAAAAAGCCTTTTCAAAATCAATTGACAAAAATACCATTTCAAAAGGCTTTTCTCTTGAATTTTCTTCCCCTAGGCAACAAAAAATAAGTAATACCATTTAGAGTTTTGACTTTGAGACTGGCTCATTACCTACCATACTTTCAGTAGGCCTGCTACTGCTGCTACTATTGGCCATTGCAAGGGCTGCAGCAAGTTGATTTGTCGTGATGGCTTGTTGGGGTCCTCTTGAGCGGGAAGACCCCATAAAATCTTCCTCATCCATCTGATCCATGGAATATGTACCTAATAATACATATTAACGATGTAATTATTCAATTTTTTTTTAAAGATATATTTAATTCATTACAAGATATTACAATACATATCCCTTCAATCGCTCATAATTCTTTGAATTAAAAGTGATTTCACTTGGTTTTAATTAAATCAGACATTTGTGCATCCTTTGGCAGTAATTGTGTTAAATAAAGCATATGTAAATCAAATTTTGCACATTTTTCATTTTTGAACATCATCTTGTAAAACAACCTCATTTTCTGTAAATAGCTAAACCATTGCAAACCATTATTTACCCAGTCTAAAACAACATAACAAGCACAAATTACATCTTCATACTGTAAGATGTACAATGCATTCTGGGGACCAACATGGCTTCAATAAAGTTATCTCAAGTTTGTTATATTGTGTTTGCTGAAATATAACCATAGTTACGCAACAACATGGCTCACCTCTAGATGAACTTGTGGTTCCCTTGGCAACTTCTTTCTTCACTGCCGCGGCAACCATTTGTGCAGCATGTCCCATACATGGATGACTTTCTATAGCTCTATAATGAAACACACCATTGAAATATATTAAGAACAAAGCAAATATATTATTTTAGTTTCTTTAAATATTTCCTTTTGAATAAACTTTGAATGAGGCAGTTTTTCAAACTATATAAAAATATAGAATTATGATAATTTCCCTCTTTTTTTCTCTTTGTAAGGATTTCGCAGCAGTTTAATACATAACATCTGCTAAGAATGTTGCATTATGGGTCTCTCATGTAAACTTACTTTAACATGACATCCTTGTCAGCAAGAATGCTGAGCGTATCCGGGTCTTGCAACATCGCCAAGGCAACTGGATCTTTATCAACCCCAGGAGTTGCAGCAACTATGTTCTCTAAAGTTTTCGGATCAGAGAGCATCCGTTCGACTATGTGTCTATATGCTGGGTTTTCTAGTGTATTCTGAAGAGCAGTTACGCATTGTTGCACAGCTGTATTGTCCAAAGCCTCTATAATTAAATATGCTTATGCGTTAGAAGGATGTAGGATTTCATTGATACCTGTGTTACACACAGGTTTAATTGTTTCGTTATCACGGGGTGCCAACGTTAATTTGAATTTTAGACCTACCCACCATGTGTTTGAAAAACAAGGATTGTGAGTCTCATACTGCACTGTTTTTCTTCATACTCATTCCATTTAAAGGAAAACAAAAATGTCTTTCTGTCGGTGCATCGTTTTATTGAACAGAGTTCCTCATTTTAGCGGCATTTGGGTTTCCAGCTGTGAGAAGTGATTCACGCAGCTGAGGACCCAAATGCCGCTAAAACGAGGGCTTTGTATAACAGTATAATGTACCAACAGATAGGCATTTTTGTTTTTCTTTAATGGAACAACTTTGAAGAAAATCGATTCAGTATGAGATTCACATTCCTTGATTTTCAATCACCTGGTTGGTCCAAAATTCAAATTAACATCATAGTTGGAACTTCGTCAGGGTTCGTACACCTTTTTCAAAATGAATTTCCCTGACATTTCCCTGACATTTCCAGGCATAAGATGAAATTTCCAGATCAAGTTTTCCTTGCACGGCCTCTAAAGAGTCTCTAACAACTGTATTATTTAAAAGACAAGACTTTATGAAATATTTTGGGTTTGTCATTTAGTACCATTTCTCATGTCTTATTCACCAATTTATTCCTGATACATTATATTCTTAACTTTACATATTTACGAAGGTAATCATACATGTATAAGGACATAGTCAGCAAGTGTCAAGGGGGTGCATTTTGGGGGGTTTGCATCACTGCGAGTGAAGCAAACCCAGGGGGGTACGGGGGTTCACCCCCGGAAATTTTTCAAAATTGACAATTGTATAGGGTGCATTCTAACCAAGTCTGTCAACTGATATTTGAATAAGATAAATAGACTGAATACGACCGGACTGTCGAACAGACAGCTCCTTAATATAAATACAATTTTAAACTGTAAAGAGTTCCCTGATTTTTTTGTTTTTCACCTTCCGCCCTCCTCATATTAACCCCTCAACAAACCATGAAACATATACCAGTAATTAACTTTGAATGGCCTTAGACAGACTTACTACATGTACTTGGGAAAGCATAATTGTATTGAACCATCTATACATATTCTTTATTGTTCGGTTTCAGTATAATGTTCACACTGTTCTTACAAATAGACAAAAGCAGATTTAATGTCATTCAATCAACCCTAATCAAAATTTGCAATTTGTGGAAACAACTAAAATGCTCGATTTTGGACTTCATTGATATCCTATCATAGCCTTAAAATGTATTTTGCTGGAACATTATTTTTTCAACAATGATACAAAATTCCCTGACATTTCCCTGACACATCTACTGTTTCAAAATTCCCTGAAATTTTTGGCCCTTTCTGACCCAATTTTGAAATTCCCTGACATTTCCAGCACCTGGAAAAATAAATCAATTTCCCTGACATTTCCAGGTGTGTACGAACCCTGTTCGTGGTGCTAAATATAACAAAGTATTTTGAGTCTTCATTAAACCTCAAGAATCCTTCAGTAAGTATTAGACCTGTTGCTGATGCTCTAATATTAAGACCATTATATCGAAGAAATCACCCTACTCTAAAATGTAGCAAACCGCCATATTGGAAATGGGTCGAAAAAACATTCACTCGATGAACAATTTACAAGTCTTGATGGAAAAAGAAGTATTTCAGCACTCCAATACTTGCAAGGATTGATGATACTGATGTAACACACAGAGACCAAAAGTAAGCTGCTGATTTCATTGTTCATGTTTTAAAGGTCACTATTATTCAGCTGTCCAAGTGCGCTGTGGGAAAGCTATTATATCAAAATCCACATAGCTTTCGCACGAAGTAACCGAAATAATTAGTTTTTACACTTAATTTTCTCTTTGATATTGCATTTATGATCCATGGTCAACACATGGAGATAACCTTTTACTATGACTATTGTTGAACTGAAAATACTCACGAACTGCAGAAGGTAATTCAGTCTTGTTCGACTTTAGGACATGTACAGTTGCCCCAGGTCTAACACCATATGACGTAACCGTATCTTCATCTTTGAGACAACGTCCACAATACACCAGCTCTGAATATAATTTAACCGACGCCAATTAAATATTATCTTACAGTTGGGGACAAAAATAAATGACAGGTCGATTTTCGATCACCATTTCCTAATTATGGTCGTCTGAAAGTCCATAATTTCCAATATTGTCTAGATACATATCCCTTAAAATTTGTATATTTCACATTTTGTATAATCTCATCCACTGATGTATGGCCTCTTGAAAATTCTCTTATTTTTAACATGGGAAATTCTCACTTCAGCAAATCCACCTGTCATTTATCTATGTCCCGAACTGTATATTATCTTATCTTTGTCACAGGAAGTTGTATCAAGACCTTTTTCGGCCTTTATGGGCTTTTGCCCCCCCCCCCCACCTCTCATAAGATCTCATAAGGGAATTCATCTGTTCCCAGATTGGGGAAGGGCAAAAGGCTCCGTAGAGGCCGAAAAAGGTCTTGATACAACTTCCTGTGATCTTTGTCTTATAAAAATTATTTTTTTCTACTTAGCTTAGAGTGGGCGATAATAGGATCTTAAAGAATAAAATCATATATTCTAAAACGATTTTCAGCAATTTTCCTTAACTTACCGATTTCTTCAGCATTTATATCAAGTCTTTGCGAGATATTCTTTCTAAAAATTGAGACATTTCCGCTAAAATCAACTCCTTCAAGCCTCAAACGAGAGGTTTTTGAGGACATACGATTACACAGCACAACAGAGTTAGTAGCCATTTTGAAGTATAGGTGGCAGTAATACATGTTTCGTCCAGTACAGTTTTAACTATATATCCCCGGGATTTACTCTGCTCCAATAATGTTCATTTTTTATTTTTATTTGCATTAATCCATCATAAAACCAGCATTTATTATTTAGCTGATTGCATTTTAAACACCAATTGATTTTTGAAAATGATTTTGTATTGTACTCACACTCACTGTGATATGTTGTATATATTTTGCAGTTTATTTCAAATAAAAAAAAGAAAAAAAGTTGCATCACGTGAGTGCAGAAGTGATGCCATCAAGTGATAAACTGCATTAAGTGTTGAAATGACAATGGCAGTTTTTTAAAATTTTGCTGTTGTTAAAATTTTTCAAATTGAGTCATGTTCACCTCTCGAGATTCAATGGGTGCACTGTCCATGCAAAAGTTGGACGAGTTCAGATTAGAAGCAATCGTCTATAGCATTCGATCAGTGCAATCGTGCATTATACAGGTTACACTGCATGTTATACAAATAGTGTCATTCACTTCAAAACTGCACGCCCAAAACTTTAAAATATCAAAAAGAAAACAAAAACAGATTTTTTTATAAAAAGTTTATTCCTACTAAATGTACAAATGTTTTCAGTAATACAGACTACATCCATACAGTCATGGTTATTCCATTCTTTTACTCTTTTTTGAATTAAGTGCAACATGTTTCTTGCATCCCAAATCAATTGTGAGTATTGATATCTATCCAAAAAGTCCCAAATTAACGCATAATCCCTTTTCAAAAAGTTTGTCTGCTCATCATTATCCATTCAATTCCTCTATAAAATTTGAATAAAGTGTCCGATCTTTCTGCACTTTTACACAATTTAGAGTGTTGACAACATGCCTGCTTCTTTATTCCTTGCTAATTCCACCCAGTTTTATTCTAATTTGCACCAAATTTTTAGCACAAAACATGACCTGATGACTGTCAATGCATTTTACTCCTCAATCATATGTCTTACTATTAAACATAATAGTAATATACTGTACATGAATATACACCTGTAGTATATTAAAATTATAAATTAGTACCAGAATATCCTGTCTTATCATCCATGGGCTTGTAACGGAGTGCTAAGAGGAGATATAGAAAATTTGTCTAGCATATAGGCACAATATTAAACCTACCGTATACTGAATCTATTCAATAAACTCCATGGCCTTATGATGGAAACTTGGCGCTAGTACATGTAGTATGCTAAATCTGATTTTACATTACATAGATGTAAAAGTACAAAACACTTACAAATTTTATAAATAAATCATTTAAAACAACCACATGTCCCTCCTCATTTCTATTTGGTGTGCACATTTTGTAACATACATTGTAATACCAGTAGATGTAAATACCAATAGATAACATACAATACTACACTACACATGAAACATCATTCAATGTATCCTATGACCCTAGACTGTAGGAAAATCAATACCAGCCTTAGGTATACATTAAGTGCACAATAGGTGTGCATTAGGTGCACATTAGGTGTACATTATCATTGCCATACATTAGCACTCTGTGTTAAATATCACAAGATATGCAATACCACTAGATGTGGAATAAAGCTAAGATTAGGAATAAAATACTATTCTAGTACACAAGTGTACAATACTATTTCATATAGAATTCCACTTGATAAAACTACTGCAGGGGTACTATCATATATTTTAAGTAGAATAGGAACATAAATCATAAGATGTAGAATACCACATGATCCGTAATACCATAAGATGTACAATACCACAAAATGTGCTAAACCACTATATGCAGAATACCACTAGGTATAAAATACACTGGGTGTACAATATCACACATTCTACCATTTCCTGACCATTGAATGTCAAGTATTGTCATTGTAGAAAGACATTAAAACCTGTGTACAATGTCAGCGAATGAATGAAACTACTGGCTTAAAAATATCATTAGATGCAAATCATATGTAGGTCAGGGGAAAAGGGGAAGTGAGGAAGGAAAAATAAACACAATAAATGGAGTGCAGGCATTCTGGTATGCCAGAGCCCCTCTTATCTGCCGTTCGAGAGTCACTTTAGAGGGGGTGCAGCTATCGCGATGGAGGGCAGGATGTTGTGCAAATAAAAAGGAGGCTAGTAAGAGGTAGAAACAGATCCAGCTAGAAAATGTTTCATCCGAGTGTTTCAATTTTACAATTTGATTGCCTCATATCATTGTGTAGGTCTGATCCTGCCTTTAAATCTAGTTGTTTTCTTGTTGTCATAGTAACATTCTCTCTAACATTCTTCTACAAACACTCTCATGGACCACATTTTGTATTCTTACTCTCTTAAGCTAATTTAATTTACATGTATCTTATATCAAATACATCATACATTTTCAGTAATAATATATTTTAAAAGGGTTCCATTACTGCACAAAGGAGGTATACATATACAGTACATACATGAACAATATAAAGTATAAAATGGTATATACAGTCTCTCATATGATAAGATTATGATGATAGATATGCTCGAATTTGATTGGTTGATTGTATGCCTTTAACATGAAAGCCAAGTTTAAGAAGCAACTGTTTAAACCAAAACAAAATGGCTGCAAACTGAGATAGTAAAACACCGTCCCAGTTGCCACTATGGTCAAATAACAGTAATTCATAGTTTACCACATGCATAACTACCACACACCAAAAAATTTCTTTGTGCAAAATATTTTGGTCACATTTTAATTTTTGTGTACATGTACCTTTGTTTGAGTAAATCAGGGCACCTTTTGATTGAAATGCACACCAAATTGAGTGAATAAGTAAAACTGTGAAAAACGCTCATTAATTGGGAAAATCACAAAATTTAAATGGCAGTATATTTTCTAGGCTTAAATAGTTGTCTCCTATGTCCAGACTGTTCTTCAACATGTTTCGTATCAAATAAAACACACAATATCGAATACTCTATACAGGGTGTTCCAAAAGTAACAGGACTGGTGCTGGTATTTTGTCAAATTAATGCATCAATCGTCTTGGAAATTTTACATAATGTACTTTCATGTATTGTTGCTAAAACTGCAAAGTTTCAAAAAATATTATGCAATTCGGGTAGAGTTATGGTTGCTATGGTAACATGACATCACAATACCCGGGGCAACATTCCACGCAGAAAATTACAGACTTAAAACATTTTGAACAACCCATATAAAAGTTGAAATGCAACAATTCAACTGGTGAAAATTAGATTTGCTTTACATCATTTGATATTCCTATGTATCCTCACTTTGCAAAGTAGGCTCCTCTTTGATCAGTATAAGAGAAGCACTCTATCCATGATTCAAACACATGAGTGAACCAATCTGAGGACATGTCACGCAAGGTCGATTGCAAGGACAACTAGGAGCAGGTCATTCTCATCTTTAAAGGTCTTACCGCGCTGATTAGGATTCCGTTCTCCATATAAGTTAAAATTAGATATTGCATGATCATAAGAGTATTGTGTATGGTTTTAGACATCAACACCTAGCTCCTCTATAGCGGCAGTGGTCTTTAATGCTGACTTGTGGGCAGGCGCGTTATCAAGATGGATGACTGGCTTCAAATTGCGTTTTTTTTAAATTCAATAGTTAATTGTGCAAACTGTTATACATAGTGATATTCCAGGAAAGTGAATTAGTAAATAAATATTATTATTATGAAATCATACTTGAATCTGAGTTGTATAGCAACACCATTACACAAAACAACTAATAGAACAAACAAGAAATGTTGTGTTGTAATAGGTGAATTAGATACTTTCTTCAGTCATACAAAAATGTTGGATATCACATTTTCATGAAAAAGTTGCCCCGGGTATTGTGATGTCATGTTACTATAGTAACCGTAACTCTACTCTCATTTTATATTTTTTTCTGAAACTTCATAATCTTAGTTGTAATACTTCAAAGTACAATTTGTGAAAATTTGAAGACACTCCGTACAGATTTGACAAAATGCCAGCACCAGTCCTGTTACTTTTGGAACACCCTGTACATTCATTCATACATTAATTATAATTGTATTTACAAAGCATTTTTGTTATAATTGCATTATGTTTTCTTTAGAAGTGACACATTTTCATTTAATTTAAATATTTTATAAACAATTTTAAAGCACTAGAAGTTTGTGAAAATTGCATTTTGGGGGTTTTCATCTATTTTATGTGCTGACAAAACTCCATTCGGCACCTTTTAAAAACTGCATTGCATTATGGGGGATTATCGTGACAGTGTCGTTGAGGAATTATTAGAAGGAACCTCTGACGTTGCTTCCCCATTGTGTTCCGTGTCCACTCCTTCATCAGGACTTACAGCGCCCTCTGGAGGAAAAACCTTCATTGGCGGCATTGTTTTTGTTACAATATCAACGGCATCTTGTCTTCCAAGATCCTTCAATTTGAAAAGTAGCTTTCCGATTGTGTTGTCATGATCTCGGGCCCATTCCTCGAGGGTTTTATCAGTGCGTGATTGTATTTGATTCCGCCCAGGGGCGTCAAGGGAAGGAAGTGTGTCTGCCAAGTCAAGTTTAACGGCCAACAGACACCAATCTCTTCCCATGGGATCAGGACGGTCAAGTAATTTACTGAATTCCCTTCGTGTATTCAACGATAAATGAGAAACATGTAAGTCGACTCCCATTGTTACGTTTGATTGGATATCCGTTGATCCATAACATAGTACATCTTTCAGTTCTTCCGTAATTTCCGTATCAGGCAGAGAAAGTTTTGTATAATTTTCTAACTGTTTAGCGATTAAATCATGGGGGGTGTAGCTATGGGGTTTTCGCTTATGTTCCTTCAATTGCAACGGACTCAGATAATGTTTCTCGTATAACATTCCCGGGCACATTTCATTCAAAATATGTTCTGTCAAAGTACTCATTTCATCCAGCAAATAAAATGCATGACTCGCATTAGTATCTGGTCCGCGAACTTTGATTTCAATTGCTTGATCACTCATCTCCATGGTTAGGAGACATTCAAGATTTGCCGTGCAATATTTAGTTCCATGGTACCATTGATAGAGGTCGCTTTCAGTTTCCGGACCTTCTTGTATCAGCATACGTCGTAAATGAATCTGTAATCTCGGGAAAATGTGAACCATTTGGTTACTCATCCCGGCAAGAGCTTGAACCCTGACGCCACCATAAACAGGGTTCGGTAAAGTTCGGACATCCTTATCCCACAAACCATGCAGGGTTTCAATAAAATTCAAACAGGGGAATTCATACTCGATATCCCCATCATTTTCACACTGGGTGCAAATCTCCAATGCTTCGAGTACTGTCAACATATCAGTGGCTTCAACCTCTGGGAACATCAACTGAAAATCATCCGCAGTAAAACATCCAGTTACGCGTGACTGCATGATCTTTTCGTGCGATAACAACTGTCCCAAAATTTCTGTGCATAACCATTGTGGGTTAACGACAACCAAATCTTGATCTATTTCTCCTTCGATGTATATAACCTGAAATAAAAAGAGTTTATTTCAACATTACTTACATTACTAAGTGCAATTAAGGTAACAACAAAAATGCAACCTGGGATGAATTAAATAATGAGATGCAGATGTATAAAATTCCTCGAAGTTCTGGATCCAGAGCAACAGACAAATATGTCACAAAATCTTTCACTGAAGTTGCTCTAGTGTTCACAATCACTCAACTTGGTGCAATACAAGTATGTAACAAAATTTATAAATTTGATCATAATGATCAAAGAACTAATTCAAAATTAGTTTATTTGGGAATGCGGTTAAAATGATGAAAAAAAAATTTATTTATTGCTTTCAATCAGTCAAATATCAGTTCATACAGTACATATGATGAATGCTTGTATGACAGTGTTTTTCTCATAAACACAAATTTTACAAAGGTGAATCCATACCTCTCCCATTAACTGCAAATTCTGTACTATCTCTCTCAAATGATCATCGCTGGCGAGTGGGTTGACCTTTGACCTTATTTGTTCAGCGAAGTCGTGCCATGGCATTACGGGGAAGAAAGCGGTCTCCTTGCACCAGGCATGTAGCTGCACAACTGCTGCATCTAAGAAACCATTCACCGTTGGAAGAGTCTGAAATGTGATGTTTTTTTGTTTTGTTTTTTTTATTAAAAATATTTATTCTCTAAAATTAAAATCAAATACATAATAACACTTGACACTTTTAATAAGTGTATCAGCGTGAAAACATTTAAATATTAACCTGAGTCAAATGGAAATGAGAAAAAAGAACAATTTAAAAATATTTACTCAGTTAAATGAGAATAAAATTGATAACAATATATAAAATCTACATATATGTTTGTCAGTAATTCAGTTCAGAATAGGTTGATGTCATATGAATTTTAAAATTCTTTTTAAAACAGTTAATGGAAGGTAATGTTTTCAAAGAAGTTGGCAGATTATTCCAAAGCTGAGCACCTGAATATTTTATTGAGTTTTGACCTATAATTGTTCTAAATTTTTTCATGTGAAGGCAATTTTGGAATCTTGTCTCATGTTCATGAAATATCAAATTTGGAGTAAAATAATTTTCAAATATGTCAAAAGGAAAGCCATCGGGTTTTGTTGTGTATTGATAAAGAAATTTTGCAACTTCAAGCTTATGTATGTCAAAAATATCTAGAAAATTGAGTTGTTTAAAAAGAGGTGGGCTATGTGCTAAAAAGTCAGAATTTGTGATTATTCTCACTGCACGTTTTTGTAACAAAAGCAATTTATTCAAAAAGGTTTTACATGCATTACCCCATATGATGTTGCAATAGTTCAATTGTGATAATATAAGTGAATTATAAATGGTAATCATGGTTTTTGTATTCAATTTATATTTAATCTTTCCCAGAATACCAATAATTTTAGATATTTTATGTATAACCTTATTTATGTGCTCATTCCATTTTAATTTACAATCAATTGTTACTCCAAGAAAATTTGTATGCATTACTCTTTCAAGAATATTACCCCCTATTTTTATATTAAAATCTTGATTTTCATCAATATTTAACTTTGATCTTGTAAATAGCATATAATTTGTCTTGTCTATATTCAAAGAAAGTTTATTTGATTTGAACCATTCTAATGTCTTTTCCATTTCTAGATTTACATTTCTATATAGATCATGAAGGTCTTTGTTTGAACATAAGATATTTGTATCATCTGCGAAAATAGTAAATTTAAGAATATTTGAAACCTTATGTAAATCATTAATATAGAGAATGAATAAGATGGGGCCTAAAACAGACCCTTGAGGTACACCACAAGTGATAATATTTTCTTCAGATAGAGTGTTGTTAAAAGAAGTAATGATTTTCCTATCAGATAAATAGCTTTCAAACCAATTTTTTGCGACATTGCGAATTCCAAAATTTTCAAGTTTTTTTAGAAGAATTTCATGATTTACTGTATCGAAGGCTTTCGATAAATCTAAAAATATTCCAATAGCATGAGTTGAGCTTTTATCTAGAGATATTATAATGTATAAGATATGTAATGTAATGTAATTTGATGTCAGTATTATGATATTTGGTGTCATAATGTAATAATTTATTGTTAAATGAACCTCTATGAGTGGAACACCTCTCAAGTGGAACAATTTCAGAGGTGACAAAGGTGTTCCACTTAGACAGGTTTTACAGTATAATTATATGCTTAATTATCATCATGATCAAGGTTATTATCGAGGGATGTCATGTCATGATGTCATGTTGATATGACATTAATGTGATGACAAATTACGATCTAGTGATGTCATAATTTAATTTAACAATTTAATCTCCTAATGTATTTTAGGGATGAAATTCATGGTGAATATTGATGTCAAGATAAAATGATGATGTCAACATAAATAATACCATAAGACCTGAGACAACTGTGAATTTTGAATGACTTTTACTGAATATAAAATGTCCTATAAGCCCTCTCTCACATCCTTGCAGCAAGGGTATATTTTATATTTTGAATTTAAGCATAAATGAAGTCCTTTGAAGAAGGATGCTCTATCATTATACAAACCTTAACAATTTGTGTTTTTATGACAGCAAGTTTATTTTTCAAGGCCTTCATTTCTGCAGATGTAGCAACATTGCTGTCTACGACAAAAACTTGATCGCAGATTTCGAAATCTGCGCCAAATTGTTGTACAGCCTCACTATGGATTAAAGAGGCATCGTTGCTGACAAATTCACCACGGATGTTTCGCGAGCAACCAACTTTGTCTGCATGGGTTGCTACTAATATAACATGGGCTTTGTTCGATATTGTACCAAACTGACCTAGAAATAAAATACAAAAACATGATATTAAATGTAAGCTTACTGTTACTTGTTCATGAAGGTGTTGGTTGCATACTGAGCCAAATGTGAACAGGATATGTCCAATGTTTAAATCACATGAAATCTGGCCTTATATGTAACTAGACAACAGCAACGCCAAGGAGTGGCAAATCCAATCAAATAGCCTTGGCTGTCCTCTTAATCACATGAAGTCTGGCCTTATATATGTTATATGTAATTATTATATGTATATGATCAAAATGATTTCCAAGAAAAATAGTTTGGTTAAAAGTCATTCACACAAAATCAGATCTATAAAATTCAAATTATCATTTTTAGTCTGACAATTACTTAAGCAAAAAATTCACATACCTATTGGTTCATGGGGCGGGACCCGAGACCGTATAAAATGCAGCCAATACATGGACTGTGCACGCTGGACTTCTATTGGCTCATCCAGGTTGAATAAAACAAAATGGATGCAATTTGAGTCTCCGATGAAGTGATCATACATCATGTAGTAAGGTTCATATCCAGAAAACTCCCAGACGGTGAAATCTCCTGCACCTAGAAGAAAAAAAAACAGATGTCTTTAAGATTAATTTTCAACATGCTATAGCTAAAGAAGCTAAAGAACACAATGGTCCCATTTAGTGATGCAATGCAACTCTTCAATAATGTCAAAAAATCAGTTAATGATATCATTTTTAGTACATGTACTACTATATAAGTATATGTCATACATATTCTGTCATATTGCTCAGAAGTAATAACATTTAATAATTTATTATTAATACTCATTTAGTGATGTCACATTATGCCAATTAGTGACATCATAATTCATTCGTTGATGTCACCCTACCTGTGAGGCTGATATGTTGGACATCAATTCCTTTTGTGTAGTTACTATTCAAGACGTCAAATGAGAGTTGTGACGGTAAACTGTTGTGACGGTGAATTCCATTCTCAGCACCTGAAAGTTCAAGGATCACCAAGGTCAAGCAAAGGTCATGATTAAATATTAAATACTTTTTTCTCTCAATTGGAACAAAGTGGTAGATTTTAGATGATTTGTGCCCAAATTAAAGGCTTAAAACTTTACATCTTTGTAATTTTACTAAATTTCCTCCTAGTTTTTCTATCCAATCTTCTATTTTACAAGGAAAAGCACAAAAGTATAAAATATGTATCAACTGAGTGGTAGTGCCACCTATTGGTGTGTTCCAAAACCAAGATGGCAGTTCATTTATCTCAGAACCTTATATGCAGTTATATATCAACAAAACCTTTCTGGCAATATATTACATGTACCGCCTATATACCGTTACCGTATTATCATACAAATAATGGTTGTCATAGAGAATAGTGTAAACAAACCTGATGCATTAATTTACACAAGGCATTAACATGACAAAATGTCACCACCTAGTTGCTCACAATATAATGAGTTCAAACTTAAGTCAGATTTGAATTTCTGAGAACTTGTAAAGTCAAATTTGAACTTCTGAAAAGATGTAGATGATTTTGAAAAAAAAATTTGGTCAATTTGAAGCAAGTTGAAAACAGACCTTTTTGACCTTTTTTGACCTTGAGAAGTCATTAAAGGTCAAATGTCAAATCTAAAGTCAGATTTGAATTTCTGAGAACATGTAGATGATTTTGAAAAAAAAAATTAGTCAATTTGAAGCAAGTTGAAAACAGACCTTTTTGACCTTTTTTGACCTTGAGAAGGTCATTGAAGGTCAAATGTCAAATCTAAAGTCAGATTTGAATTTCTGAGAACACGTAGATGATTTTGAAAAAAAAATTTAGTCAATTTGAAGCAAGTTGAAAAAAGACCTTTTTGACCTTTTTTGACTTTGAGAAGGTCATTGAGAACTTGTAAAGTCAAATTTGAACTTCTGAAAAGATGTAGATGATTTTGAAAAAAAATTTAGTCAATTTGAAGCAAGTTGAAAACAGACCTTTTTGACCTTTTTTGACTTTGAGAAGGTCATTGAGAACTTGTAAAGTCAAATTTGAACTTCTGAAAAGATGTAGATGATTTTGAAAAAAAAATTTGGTCAATTTGAAGCAAGTTGAAAACAGACCTTTTTGACCTTTTTTGACCTTGAGAAGGTCATTAAAGGTAAAATGTCAAATCTAAAGTCAGATTTGAATTTCTGAGAACATGTAGATGATTTTGAAAAAAAAAATTAGTCAATTTGAAGCAAGTTGAAAACAGACCTTTTTGACCTTTTTTGACCTTGAGAAGGTCATTGAAGGTCAAATGTCAAATCTAAAGTCAGATTTGAATTTCTGAGAACACGTAGATGATTTTGAAAAAAAAATTTAGTCAATTTGAAGCAAGTTGAAAAAAGACCTTTTGACCTTTTTTGACTTTGAGAAGGTCATTGAAGGTCAAATGTCAAATCTTAAGTCAAATCTAAAGTCAGATTTGAATTTCTGAGAACAAGTAGATGATTTTGAAAAAATTTTTTAGTCAATTTGAAGCAAGTTGAAAACAGACCTTTTTGACCTTGAGAAGGTCATTAAAGGTCAAATGTCAAATCTTAAGTCAGATTTGAATTTCTGAGAACATGTAGATGATTTTGAAAAAAAAAATTAGTCAATTTGAAGCAAGTTGAAAAAAGACCTTTTTGACCTTTTTTGACCTTGAGAAGGTCATTGAAGGTCAAATGTCAAATCTAAAGTCAGATTTGAATTTCTGAGAACATGTAGATGATTTTGAAAAAAAAATTTAGTCAATTTGAAGCAAGTTGAAAAAAGACCTTTTTGACCTTTTTTGACTTTGAGAAGGTCATTGAAGGTCAAATGTCAAATCTTAAGTCAAATCTAAAGTCAGATTTGAATTTCTGAGAACATGTAGATGATTTTGAAATTTTTTTTAGTCAATTTGAAGCAAGTTGAAAACAGACCTTGTTGACCTTTTTTGACCTTGAGAAGGTCATTGGAGGTCAAATGTCAAATCTTAAGTCAGATTTGAATTTCTGAGAACACGTAGATGATTTTGAAAAAAAAATTTAGTCAATTTGAAGCAAGTTGAAAACAGACCTTTTTGACCTTTTTTGACCTTGAGAAGGTCATTGAAGGTCAAATGTCAAATCTAAAGTCAGATTTGAAATTCTGAGAACATGTAGATGATTTTGAAAAAAAAATTAAGTCAATTTGAAGCAAGTTGAAAAAATACCTTTTTGACCTTTTTTGACTTTGAGAAGGTCATTGAAGGTCAAATGTCAAATCTTAAGTCAAATCTAAAGTCAGATTTAAGATTCTGAGAACACGTAGATGATTTTGAAAAAATTTCTTAGTCAATTTGAAGCAAGTTGAAAACAGACCTTTTTGACCTTTTTTGACCTTAAGAAGGTCATTGAAGGTCAAATGTCAAATCTCAAGTCAAATCTTAAGTCAAATTTGAATTTCTGAGAACACGTAGATGATTTTGAAAAAAAAATTTAGTCAATTTGAAGCAAGTTGAAAACAGACCTTTTTGACCTTTTTTGACCTTGAGAAGGTCATTGAAGGTCAAATGACAAATCTAAAGTCAGATTTGAAGGTCAAATGTCAAATCTAAAGTCAGATTTGAATTTCTGAGAACATGTAGATGATTTTGAAAAAAATTTAGTCAATGTGAAGCAAGTTGAAAAAAGACCTTTTTGACCTTGAGAAGGTCATTGAAGGTCAAATGTCAAATCTAAAGTCAGATTTGAACTTCTGAGAACATGTAGATGATTTAGAAAAAAATTGAAGTTAGTCTAAACAGTATTTGTTAAGTTATAGGAAGTTGTAAGAAATTGTTACAGACGCCGGACGCCAACCGCCGGACGCCAACCGCCGGACGCCGTCGCAAAAAAAACGGAGACCATAACAATATGTCACCACTTTTGGTGGTGGTGACATAAAAAACGGAGACCATAACAATATGTCACCACTTTTGGTGGTGGTGACATAAAAATGATATTTGTTTTTTGAAGATTACAATAATTTTAATATCCTGTACTATATATCAATACACATGTCACTAAAATACTCATTTAGTATCTTGTCAGTGTAGTGCAATGGTATGACCATAACACCGGTTATAGGAGCAAAATGGTAGAATTACACAATTTCAATTTGATCTTAAAAATGGTGCTAGGTCACTTTTATTATGCACAATTTACACTACATTTATAGTAATCATGCTTCAAAATATTCACACTCCAAAATATTTAATTAAATCACAAGCTTTATTGGATTGATTTTTTACTTTTGGATAAGTATATAATGCACACGTCATGCTAAAATACACACAATATTTAGATTTTCAATTTTAGAATCTTTTCAGGAACTTACTAAGTATTAATTTTTTACACAGTTAAATGCAATTTACATGCATATTTTATAGTCTTAAATTAAGACTTAACTTATAATAACTCATCTTCGTGAAAATCACACAATATCTATTAATAAATTCTCTTGGAGTATTTAACATGACCATATTCATATATTCACAATATGTATTATTATGTAAAAAGTATTCACATAAATGTGTTGTAAAATAGATGGTGCTGCACAGATGATACTACAACATAGATGGAAGCGAGGATAGATCATCTTAAACAATATAACTGTGTGTTCATGGTTGTGTTCATGGTTGTGTTCATGGTTGTGTTCATGGTTGTGTTCATGGTTGTGTTCATGGTTGTGTTCATAGTGTATCTTCTAGGTCCTTTTGTGTTCATCTAACAAATGGTGTATCAACACCTAGGTCTTTGAAGTAAAGACTAACATCATATTTTTACATTTTTAATATATATTCAAAGCTAGAAATAAACACGTTTTTGGGTGTAACTAACATTTAATTTTGGGTGTGATTTAATACAGCGGTTCACTGTGACAAAAGCATGATAATAGTGAAAAATATAAAAACACATGTATGACAAACGTTCACACTTTACAAGGTACTATATATATAATGTATATATAAAATATATAGACAGCCATTTTGAATACTTACACCGCAGTTCTCCAACAAACCAGTAGCCTGAGCACAAGATATACTGGTCATAGTTAATTATACTCATTTCATTTAAATATCAATATAACTATTTTAATGTAATTATCACGTCATGTTAGACATGTAAGTACCCCTAAATTAACTGGGAAAACACACACAGATTTCTTACTAAAATTTTTTAACTTTACTTGCTTTTTCAAAATAGCAAAATTTGCCAAGTTAATTAATAACTTAGTGAATTAATATATATCCTCAGAGGCAAACAAATATCACAAAAAATTTGGCGCATGCATACACAAATCCATTCCGATAAAATAAACTGTAAAACATATTTTGGGCATAAGTTGCGGAAAATTTGACACAAATTCAATCAAATATAACACACCATAACAGTAACATCAGTAAGCTAAGGCACTAAAAGCAAATAATGAATGGGATGACTGAGACACACAAACTACCAATTTTAAAATGTCCGTCTGCTCATGCTTATTCCAGTCATTTCTCTCTAAAATTTGAATAAAGTGTCTGATTTTCTTGCATTTCTATACAATTTAGAGTGTTGACCACATGCCTGTTTACTTTATTCATTGATAATTCTTTTCTTTACAGCTTTATTTTTAATATTTAAAAACATGGCAGGTTTGCCTTTTTGAGTTTAGCAGACGAAACACTCTATTAGAGGTAGGATGTAAAGGGAAACATATCACGTAACATCGCAACTCACCGACAGCCACAGACAGAGGACGGTAGTGTAGCAAGGAAATGGCGGTAAAGAAACTAAGCCGGATTTCCTGCTTTCCAAATCTGATCACTACAAAGATGCATTTCTATTCAAAGATGTTTTCAATTATCTTCATGCTTGATAAATTTCAAAAAATTAACAATCAAACATTAATTATTGATGCAGCAAGGTGATAGAATTCCAGTCAAAATTCAACTTTTTCAGAAAGTCTGATTTGATCATATAATTCTTTATACTCCACAAATTTCTACAAAATTAACAACCAATGATTTTGGATTAATGGATATCTGACCACAAAGGCTCTCAGTGAAGATAAAAATATGCTGATCAGATGTTCTCAAGGATGTTCTTAAATCAAAATAGTGAATATTTGATGAATAAAAAGAGGAAATACCACTTTGCAATTACGTTCTGGTGGCGTATCATTTATGTATAATGGGCCAAGCTTGAGGCCAAGCTAAAGTTTGATAAAAATCAACAGAAATGATCATAAAATGAAATGCATATGGGCAAAATGAAACTATGCTGCTGTCTGCCAATAAAATAAATGCAAGATACATGTAAAATCTACGATCTCATTCAAATTCAAAATAAAATGGTTTCCAATTTTTGGGTATTCCTGTTTAACATTGAGTATTCTTTTTTCACTTTATTCTCAATGAAATGTTTTATCAGGAGACCTTAGCAGTTGGTACACTCCCCTCCAAAGGTTTGGCAACTGGTCCACTTTTTGATCACTTATAAAAGCCTGAAGTGCTTGGCAATTTTAACAAATCTGACGTTTTCAATTGTATTATAAATGAGGAACCAAATCAATATGAAATATGAACCAGCAGACTTCAGGTTTCCAAACTTATGAAGAGGGGTGTAGCTCTATATATTTCTGATCATGCACCAAAGATGAGAGGCTACAATTAAAGGTCAAAGTAGCTTAACATATACGGCCAATGTCAACAAAACAAAAAATATCAACAACTTGATTCAACAAAGACTGCCAAATACAGGTGACGAAGGATGACAATTGTGACATCAGCTGCAACTGTGACAAAAAGTGTGACATTTCAATAGTTTTCTGCAAACATTTGAACAGTGGTCAAAAACCGGATGAAGCTAAACTAACAACTATGAACTAGGTCAAGTCTATTTTGGGGTATAAGGGGTGCAGGCATTGGAACCAAAAGTAGACAATCGTTGCTATGACAACTCACCATATAAGGATATAAACTTAGCGAGATAAAGGGGGATTGTGACATAAAGGCCAATAAGGGTGTGCCCAATTTGAATCAATGCATTGAATGCCACCTTTACTAAAACATAGAAACAAAATAACAAAATTAACATAAATAAATAAAAAAAAAAAATTTTAATGACTTATACTGTTTGATATTTGACGTTTGACTTTTCAGATGGTAGTTTTGAGTCATTTCTTTTAAATCAATTTTAAAGACTTAACCTTCAAAAAGAATAGATAAATGCAATAAAAGCTATATCTATGAAAGCTTATAAAATATAGCAAAATTAAATGTAAAGCGCTGACTAAATTGCACATCCTGTTGAAAAATGTCTGTCTGCTCATGTTTACTTTGATTATTTTTTTCTAAAATTTGAAGAAAGTGTCTGAATTTCCTGCATTTCTATACAATTTAGAGTGTTGACTTCATGCCTGTTTACTTTATTCCTTGCTTACTTCACTCCATTTCTCTCTAAAATTTGAATAAAGTGTCTGATTTTCTTGCATTTCTATACAATTCAAAATGTTGGCTTTATACTTCTTTACTTTATTCCTTGCTAATTCCACTCTTTTCCACTATAATTTGCATTTTATAACATGACCATCTAGACATCATTATTCACAAAAGCTGGATACAGTATATGCTCTATAGACAATGCTATAAAAGGCAAGATCTAACTAGAATAGAGGTTTGACAATTAAGGAACAATTTCATTTTCAAAATATGGGACAAAAATTAATATACTGATCCCAGTAAAAGTTTTGTTTATACATATTTATGATTAATTGATTTAAGAATTACCCCCTCTCATCTTAATGAGACAAAAAGTGTACAGTTACAATCATATCAAATATAATACAAAGTAATAATAGAGGTCAATTATAAATATTAATGGAATTATCAAAAGTAGGCCCTCGACATACCCTTAAAGAAATTAATAATTTGTTTCAAAGATATTGACATGATTCTGTAACAGGGATATACATGAATAATCTTGAATCATCAGATAAATCTATTTTTTCGTTATTTCTTTTTAATATACCAGTATATTGTTAATACAATGATACAGAAGAACATGTATGCGAATCCATATTTTTCTATTCTATTCCAAAATATTCCTAATCACGATTCACGGAAACTTACCTTTTTCCTTCGTTGTTAAATTATTATTACTCGGCATTGAATTGCCGCTGGCTCTTGTCCAACTGGACTTGCGGAAAAATCCAGAAATATAGCCACATTTTAACGATTCAATCAAGGTGGTTTTTCCAACATTACTGTGTCCAAATATCTTCAGTTTAATTCTTCCGAGAGGAATCTTTGTTGGACACAATTGGCTTATATAGCCCTCTTTAAAATCCTACGAAAAAAGTATAGAGACTGATATAAATAAACAAACATATAATGTTAAACAATCAAACAGACAAACAAACAATTTGTTTGATCAGTGCATATATCGTGTCTCACTGTGGCATTACCATTTTTATTCAGTTAATAACTTTTTCATAGAAATTGTTCATAGAAATGACATAAAACACACAGAGTGTTACATAAAAATCAATAATTAGTAATAAAAAGTATACAATATTGTTTAGAAATTCTGATTTTTTCCAAAAAAGGAACGAGTGTATCATCAATAGACAGCAATACCAAGAGTATAAACTAGAAAGTATTTTTGTGTTGTTTATTTGATGATTTACACAAGTGTTAAGCGGTACTCACTGGTTTCATGCGTGCCAGTAAAGTTGCAATGTCAGTATGCCCCTGTGCTAACGCCATAATCTCACCAGTTATACCATCCTATAATGTAAATTGTACCTCCTATCATTTTTGATATGTACATATATCTATTCAGCAGCCCTCCTATCTTTTGTTTCATTGCAAGGCATTCTATCATTTACAGGTGACATCCAGGTTAAAATGAATATTGTACTTTATTGTTTATTTATATAAGGGGACATCTAATGCTTACAGCGCTTTGTCCCTTGTAATTGTATCTAAATGACTTGTGCTTACAATAAATATGAAAGATGATAAAAAAAAAATCTATTCACTTATTTATTTGAATCCATGGAGCCTCAGACTGTATAGGGTATGTTTGTTATGAATGGTCGTTTTAGTTTAGTTCCTCTGGAAAAATTTTTACTTAAATTTTTTATCTTTGTCTCAAGATAACTCCATCTAAAACTTCCCATCCCATTTCATATTTTCCCATTTTCACCCATATTCACTCCATATACTATGGAGAAACATATACATACCTTATTAGGTCGATCAGAATCGGCTCCCGCCAGCATAAGACACCTAACGACCTCTATGTGTCCCGACCTTGAGGCAAGATGTAACGCTGTACCACTTCCTTTGTTACATAAGTCAACTTTACACCCAAAGGCACACATAGTTTGAACGATAGGTAGTAGGCCTTCTTTCGCAGCTGGGTGTAGAGGAGTCTCGCCTCCCTGTAATAAATTGACCATAAAAGGACCTCTAGTGTTCAAACTCCATATCTCATTTCAGACGAGACCAGTCATTTGTAGCTACATGAAATGGCATTCATTGAAATATGACCATATACAGACATTGAGAGAGAGTGGAAATTCTACATTTTTGGGCTGAATACTCCTTAAGGTAAAGTAGAAATGTATTTCAATATTCGATTATCACACCCCATGCACAAATACCGCAGAAAATTATAAAAGGAGATAATCAACATAAATTAAATCTAAAAGTGCTTACGATATCTTGCATGTCAAGGGAAGCACCACCGTGAATCAGCGTCAGTGCAATATTAATGTGGTGACGTCTGCATGCCATGTGAAGCGCCGTGCAGCCTCGTTTGTCTGTCAAGTCAAGCCTCGCCCCTGAGTCAACAAGCACTTTGACACATTCTAGGTTCCCACGGGATGCAGCGCAATGTAATGGAGTCTCTTCCTCCTAAAACAAAACAATTGATTTGATTTTTTTTGAATTCATCAATCTGTGGGTGTTAACATTTGATAGGGCTTTATAGAATGTAAATATTTGATAGGGCATTGTAGGATGTTAACATTTGATAGGGCATTGTAGAATGTCAACATTTGATAGGGCATTGTAGAATGTTAACATTTGATAGGGCATTGTAGAATGTTCACATTTGATAGGGCATTGTAGAATGTCAACATTTGATAGGGCATTGTAGAATGTCAACATTTGACAGGGCATTGTAGAATGTCAACATTTGACAGGGCATTGTAGAATGTTCACATTTGATAGGGCATTGTAGAATGTTCACATTTGATAGGGCGATGTAGAATGTCAACATTTGACAGGGCATTGTAGAATGTTAACATATGATAGGATGTTAACAATAGGTAATGTAGAATGATAACAATTCGTAGGGTATTGTATGATGTTAATATTTGATAAGGCATCATGTTAACATTTGATAGGGCATTATATTTACATTTGATAGGGCATTATGTTAACATTTAATAGGGCTGTCATAATAAGATGTTCATATTTAACAGGGCAATGTCAGACATTTCACGTCGAATAACATGGTGCAACAGAAAAGAACAATATTGAGTAAACTACACAGTCAAACAATATATTTGATCAATGAAACCAACGAACAATCAAATTAAGTACAATTAAAACTGTGGAGTGATTCAATAACGCTACAATTTCTATTGTATTCAAATTATCAATTACAATTCATACATTCACAAAATCACATAATACATTTATTAATTAAGAATATATTCACGTGAATCTATAATGTTTGTGCTACGAGCTATATTCAAAATGCTTGGTGCATATCTATAATGTCTCATTCATGCAAACTATCATCTTATCATGCTTATTTCACTCAATTTCTCTCTAAAATTAACAAATTAACTACATGCCTGTTTACTTTAATTTTTGTTGAATCTATTTTCCACAATTTTTGGGGATTTAAAACAAACAGTAGTAAAGTATGCTTGTATAGAACAACATTAATGCACAATGATAGAAAAAGATAATATGAAATGATAATAGGAAAAGATAATTGGAAAAGAAACATACACATATCCCAGTCTTCCCATATACACCATAGCCTCCTAATATGTCCTGCTGTCTCACCATATCTCCCATTGTTTTTCAATATGCCCCATTGTCTTTCCATACACCACATTGTCTCCTAATGTGTCCTATTGTCTTCCCATGTATCCCATTGTCTGCCCATATATCCCATTGTCTCCTCTCCATTTGTCCCATTTTCTTCTCAAATGTCCCATTTTCTTCTCAAATGTCCCATTGTCTTCCCATATACCACATTGTCTCTTCCCCATATGTCCCATTGTCTCCTCATACTGTATGTCCCATTTTCTCCCAAAGGAGCAATCAACAATTGATAATACCTGTGTCTTTCTGTCCATATCTGCTCCTGCTGCACATAGGACCATGCACAATTGTGGAACACCATGCCATGCAGCATTGTGGAGGGATGTTTCACCCAGCTAAAGGACACAACAGAAATGCATCATGCAGGCAGGGGGCACTGCATGACAACAGCAATACATGTCCAATTACAAAGTTAATACTGTAAGGGAGGGGGGGGAAGGGGGGGGAGGGAAGGGGGTGGGGTAGGGAAGGGGATGATAAAGAGTGGCTAGATGTATCATCAATGTGAAGTTTGGTTAAGGATGGAGGAGGGGGTTCTATCAACATTTTATTCTGATTTGAAGATCAATCAAAACATCATTCAACACAAGGTTGAAACCATTTCTCGGAAAAAAGAGGAGACGCTGAATAAACATATTTGATTTAGGGGAGATTTAAATCAAAATATATAACATGGGAAGGAGGGAGAAAATATATTTTTAAGAATTAAAATTTTTCTTTTGGACAAACATTGCTGTAAAAATCCCTAAATCTACAAAACTACAGTATAACATTCAATCTATTCTATACAATCAGTGTCTCAACATACAATAAAACAGGAAATTGTAAGAACATTCAATACAACAGGAGTTTTTTATAAACAATGTGTCTTGTTTGATGTTTTGTCGTTCGGAGAGTTTACATGATTCCATATAAAGGAACAACATAAAAATAATTCTAAGCCACGGGAAAAGCCTCTGGGTTGTAATGTTCCATTGATTAATGCGTGTTTTGTCAAAGTTAAAGCTATTATATGAACATTGAAAAAACAGGTATAGATTCTACGAGAATTGGTAACAATACATTAGGATAATGGATTATACGGTTGCTATGTTACAACGACTTGAATTAAAAAAGACAAAAATATTCTCGTTGCGGGATAATTCAATTATTCCCATCAAGCAACATGGCAATTTTTCAACTGGATGAATTTTTTTTTTTTTTTTTTTTTTGTATTTATTTATATATTTCTACAAAGAATACATTGAACAAGTGCACATGTGCTAGTGGCTGGGCTGGATGAATATATCCCGCTGAGTAAGCACCATATACAAAGGAGTCAATTGTGTCTGGGTTTGTTCATAGTTTAAAAACAATTATAGCAATATACAGAGTAATATCTATTGAATACTGCATGAGTAAACATACAGAAAGATAAGACATCACGCTGGGAAAAGCCGATGCAATCAAGTAAAATGTCCCAATAGAATAAAATCATCTGTGACTTTCCAAATACATTATCATTACATGTCTCAAAATAACTTAATAACAGAAAATGTAAATGGCAGTTGAGTGACAACTGAAATTATCAAAAGCATGAAATCTGGAAAATGACAATTTTTGAGAGCTAAATCAAAAAGATAACCAATCAAGAGTTTGTGGATTTTTTTTAATGTTGATTAATTATACCGAATGGTGACACTGACCAAACACTACATAACGCAACTCCTAGGACTGCATCTACTTTATCCAGCGTGATATTGAGACGTCTACATTGTAAATCTATAGTAAAGGGCAGTTTATCTTTCACATTCCTATAAAGTCTACAGATAATACAACCTATAAATTACATGAGTGAATACATCCCTCGGTCATGATTTCTGCTTCTATCTTTTTAATTTGAATGAAGTCCTAAAATATCTGTCTGCTCAGGCTTCACTCATTTCTCTCTAAAAGTTGAATGTAATGTCTCATTTTCTTGCATTTCTATACAATTTAGAGTGTTGACTTCATGCCCTTTTGCTCCTTGTTAATTCCATTCTTTTTGAGAAAAATATCTATTTTTAAACATGACCGCAAGGACATTTTTGCTCATTGGAATATTATAGGTTAGGCCCCTTCACTTACACTATGGCGGTAATATTTCTTCTGTGATGGTAAAAATGCGACAAAACGTGTGACAAATTAGGATTTGACGATATACAAAGAAAATATTAGAAATAATACACGAGTAAAGATAAAATATTTGACGTTGTTGCAATTAATAAACATTAAACTGATATCATCCTTGCTATGTCAACCTCTGAACACATAATTATTCCATGCACATTTTCCCTTGACAAAAATTGTCCGTCTGCTCATGCTTATTTCACTCAATTTCTCTCTAAAATTTGAATAAACTGTCTGATTTTCTTGAATTTCTATACAATTTAGAGTGTTGACTACATGCCTGTTTACTTTTCCCTTTGCTAATTAAACTCGTTTTCATTTTAATTTCAATGTTAAAACATAACCTCTAGAAATGTGCTTGGTTATAATTACCTTGTCTTGGATATTGATGTCGGCCCCTGCTGCTGCCAGATATTCCACGACATGAGTATGACCGTATCTAGCCGCGACATGTATTGGGGCTTCCCCGGATTTATTCTGCGTATCAAGCGAGACATCCTGTGATTTTAAATATTCAATGACCTTGACCTGACCTTGCCTAGCGGCCCAAAATACTGCACTGTCTCCATGCTGAAAATAAAATATTTCATTAGAACGTTTACTTTGTTTGTATGTGTTGTTTCATTTTGCAGGCAATGGATATGGCTTACTTGTTATTTCATGTCATTTTATCTTAAATCATTTTAAAGGTTGCCTTCCATTTATTTTGATGGTAAATTACATTCCTGACTAACTATAATGAATAGAAAATACTAGTAATGCATAGTCATTAAACTTAATGAACAAAGTGTCATAAGTGCTCCTATGTATATTTTAGGTCCAGCAGATTATTTTTGCTTTTCCTATATTGCAATTTTATGTATCTGCATCATGATATCACGTCTTCTAGTGGTTTACAGGGGAAAGCAAGGGTTGCCATGTTACAAAGCATCAATATGTTATAAGGACAAAATAGCAGCCTGATAACTGTAAGAATAAGACACTATATCATTGCAAAAATCATTATACTGCATATGAAAAAAAATGTTACCTTATGATTTTTGAATAACTGAAACTGTAACTTTTTTGTGTGACATTCTAAATCTATATAATGACATAACAATCTCAATTTGTGATCCTCAGATTGTGACCATGGGGAAAAAAGTGTATATACACTATGCTTATATTTTTATAAATAAATGATATATGACATGTTCCTACAGGTATGCCGTGTAAAAACATTTCATCCTTATATTGTAACTTAAATGTATGATTTAGTTTCCTTTATAAAGTTCACAAAAATTTTAATCAGAAAATATTGAACGTCCCTCATATAAAGGCCATGGATTTGGAGAACACTTAAGGATAATTGGGGATTAGAATCAATCTTAATTCCCTAATACTGTTTCACTTATGCACATACAGTGTGAATATTGAATTAGAACCCCAGAAACGTGTGGAAGCATTTTCTTACTTTGTCTTTGGCGCTGAGATTGATTCCCTTGGTAAGAAGTAACTCGATGATCTCAATATGACCTCCACTGGCGGCTATATGAAGCACTGATTCCCCATGCTACAATATAAAACACATACAGTGTAAGAGTGTATATTTTATAAAAGGAGAGATGACGATGACGTGTCATGGTTTTTCAATCATGATCTCAATATGACCTCCACTGGCGGCTATATGAAGTACTGATTCCCCATGCTACAATATAAAACACATACAGTGTAGAGTTTATATTTCAAAAAGAGAGCTGACGTGTCATAACTCTCCAATCATGAAGGTCTTGATTTGTCAATATCATTGCTCTTCTATACAATAAAATTAAGTAATAAATAAACTGTACATATAGCTAAAGTAACACATGTTAAATACATTGTACTCTGATTCTCCCTTTAAGTTTTTTTTTTATCAAGAACTGCCTCAAACACATTTTCAATTAAACCTGCACATTGCTCCAAAACGCAATCTTGGGTTGTTTCAGGGGTGAACTTTATCATTTTGAGCTTAATGAAAGATTATAGAATGATGAACAAATGGGGCAAATCTTGTGTAGAAATACTTCCACCATTCATATTAAGACAGTGGTTCTTTGATATTACGCAGAAAAAACAATTTTTATTTACATAAACTTTATATTAGAGGTTAAAAATGTAAAAACAATATATGTCAACATATTGGAGCGATGTGCAGGTTTAAATAATGGTTCATATTTGTTCAAGATTATTCAATAGTTTCCAGAAATTTGGGGTATGAGGTGTTTTTGAGATGTTACCCTTTGTGCTTCTTCATCACACAGGATAGAATATGAGTTTTATCCCAAGGAAAATATCACATGTTTCAATAATTATTGATCAGATGTAAATTGCATGTTATGATTATTTTAGCAAAAGTCTTCCCTCAAAATCAATTAACAAGCATATTCTGTACTGGACGTCAGAAAATATTGAACGGTTTTATTCGGAAATATTTACCCAGAGGTTGAAAGAGGTACTCTTATTGCAAAAAGATGTTACAAAATCCAGTAATGTAATCACAAATGGATCAATGTCTAGTAGAAGTCATCTTTCATTTGCCTTTAATGATTCTCTGTCATATTAGAGCTCTATCAGAATAGGATTACGCCGAATAAAAACTTCATAGAGGTCATGATTTCAACTTGAAATTGTGTGAAAAAGAGTAGAATTAGCAAGGAATAAAACAAACAGACGTGTCGTTGAAACTCTAAATTGTATAGAAATGCCAGAAAGTTTGACACTTCATTCAAATTTTAGGGAGAAATTACGTAAAGTAAACTCGAGCAGACGGATATTTTAGGTCGTGGAAACCATGCAATGGGGCAATCGGCTTTTTCTCTACTGCCAAGTTGTTTTAAAAAATTATCACATAATTGATGAAAATCCTTTTATTTATCAAACTAATGACTTTAGTGACATATAATTATCGTTATTTCAAAAATATTCAAGAAGAGTAGATATGTACTCATTTGGTTTGGGTTTAATTCAGTGGAACAGTTGAACGACCAATTGCTGATGTTTTAGTGCATGTCCATTACATGTCAATGTAAACACTTCAAATAACCTCATTGTGACATTGACACAATGTGACCATCTCTCAATATAGCCACTATACAATGTGAGTATCCCATTAATGTGACTTCTTGTACTTCACACTGTGACCACCTCACAATGTGACATCTTTCAATGTGAACACCTCACAATGTGCATATCTCTCAATATAGCCACTATACAATGTGAGTATCCCATTAATGTGACTACTTCACAATGTGACCACCTCACAATTGCAATAACTCAGATGCGAGTAGGTAGTTACCCGTTTCGCCACCAGGTGGCTGATTCGGGGAAATAACATGGCAGGGTATTACAAAATTCCCTTAAACTTGAATATGCATCAGTTTCAGTGGTTCACTTTGTATGTGATAGTTATATAAATTAAAATATGTCCAGTAAAAGAAAATATTATCTGGCCAACACAAGAAAAGATATTTCACTTTTTGTAGTTTTACAACATGGGGTCTATGGGGAATCTCCCCGACCTAGAAGTCACATTTTTAAAGAAAATTAAATTTTCAAAGTTGATAAACTCTTTTCAAAACCACATTTTAAGATGTAATTTTATATGTAGATTCCAAATATGACATCAGTGAATTGTGAATTTTTAATGACGTAAATTAAGATTATTTCTACTCGCATCTAGGATATTGCATCCATTGATTTCAGCTCAAAGAAAATGGGAAACTCTGACTTAATTGGATATTGTTAAAAGACAAAGTTGATGTGGGCATACCTTCCTTTACATCATTCCAAATACAAAACTTGATGCCTTGCTTGTTACGTAGATCCAACCACAATTCCACAAAGGTTGTGTTTTGAAGCATGAAATTTGACAAAATGAGTGGAATAAGCAAGGAATTAAGTATACTGGCATTAAGTCAAAACTTTAAATTGTATTGAAATGCAAGAAAATCAGACACTTTAGTCAAATTTTAGTGAGAAATAGAGTGGAATAAGCATCAGCATACGGACATTTTCAACATTGGTTAATCATGCCTTTCTAAGTGAAGTAGAAGTAATTTACAAAATGAATGCTATGTGTATACAAAATGCAGAGATTATGAGGTAAATTCTTCAAAAGTATTCTTCTGTATTCTCTCTAATAAATGCATAAATCCATTTCACATATTCATGTTCAAAGAAAACATAAAAAACTAAAAACATGTACTTGAAGTCAGTTGGAAAATATAACGTGACTAAATGTAGAATTAATTGAACACATTTTTACAAACATTAATGAACCAAAACAACAATCATTTCTAGTTGTAATGAAGTATTTGGTACAGTATGTGAAAAGAGCTTTTGCGAGTGGTAAATCCTGGTCTAAATGAGGTACTGCAGACATAGAGTGGCAAATTACTGTATAACATGTTATTTTCGCTATAGCAACGTAAGTTAATTGCTAATGGGTCAATTTATGAATAGATCATGTGTCTCAAATAGATTTTTTATTTATTTCATCATCAAAAGATTCAATGGAGATAATAAATGTTAAAATGTGAATTCAATATGTCAGTGAATTCTACATTGTGCATGCATGTAGAGCAGTATCAACTATCAATTTATTCAATGCTAATCCGTTCTTTCTACTCTATTTTGTATTTTATGGCAAAACATTTGATTGAACCTCATTTTTGCATTCTTCTGCGTAGACACGGCAGTTTGACATTTTGTAAAGAAATTCAGTTACTCAACAGTAAATTGCACATTCGAACATGACTGTATTCACGCCTTCTATAAACTGTGAACAAAGTCAATGTTTCACCCAAGCCCTGCGGGGTGTATTCGAAAATAGTAGCCCTGCTGTTCGTTCTATATTTCTTAAATCAACTATTGTTGAAGATGTCTGTCTGCTCATGCTTATTCCACTCTATTTCTCTCTAAAATTTGAATAAACTGTCTTATTTTCTTGCATTTCCATACAATTTAGAGTGTTAACTACATGCCTGTTTACTTTATTCCTTGCTAATTTCCTCAATTTTCACTTTATTTGGCATTTCAAATCAATACCACCATAACCTGTTTTTAGCAATTACCTTGTTGGTTTGATTAATATCAAAGTTGGTGACATTTTTGAGGAGCTCTTGGATTCCTTCGATGTTTGCCTCCTCTGTGGCGTTGAATAGTGCCGTCAGGACAAAGTTTTCTTCTTCTTCCTGGAAAAACACAAAAATAAACATCATCATCAAATTGTACCCAGATTTCTAAAAAGCATAGTAATATAGATAATACATGGTTATAAAATAATACCCAAGTGAGAAGTAATTTATTGTTTCGTTACCGTGGTGATCGTGATTAGAAATAGATTATGACACAACTCTTAGATCAAAATGTTTTACAAGCTTTACAGAATATTAAGTAACACTTTTTTGGGTTAAATATTGCTGTGTAAGTGTATAAATTTAACACTTCTGTTAGTTTAACTATTTTAAGTTTAACACCTGTATAAGTTTAACACTTCTCTATGCTAAATACTTCAGTAAGTAAGTTTAATACTTCTATAAATTTCGATTGTATCATAAGGGTTCAACCTGGTGACCATATAAATTCCCATAGCTTCCTATTCACCTTTAGACTTAACAGCAGCACAGTCACCTCATAAATATATTCCAAAGTCAGAAATAGCATTGATGGTATGAAGCAATACAGTTTACACAAGCAGATACAGGTTTCACTAGAATATCTGATGCTTCTGACAAACAGGCAAAATTGGATATTATGATTTCAACGTAGAATCAAGTTCAAAATTCTTCAAAGCAAATGGGGAAATTCAGCTGTTGCCTGAAGATAATAAAATGCCTATAACTTTGTCAATCAATGCTCTAATAATTGATTCTGCATCTGAAACATAACTGATGATCAACTTGAAGTCTTGACACAGATATTCCTGCAATAGATCTATCCTTAACTGTGTTTTTCTAAATTATAGTGACAACGACTACGAATAAATGTGAACAGAATGAGGTTAGACATATTTTCCTTAATTTGTGAAAGTTTCATGAGAAATTTTGCAGGAGAAACATAATATAAGTATCACCCTGTATATATAGTAGAACGTGTGTATATCTGAACACCTCTCCAAACTAAACACCTCTCAATGTGAACATTTTTTCAGTCCAATTGCTATAGATTATGATCAAATTAAAATGTGAACACCTGTCAATCTGAACACTATTGGCTGGCCTATAAGAGTTCAGAGCACTAATGATAAATAACTTTTATTACACTGGCTTTGAAGGAATCTTTTTGCCAGAAGTCAAACTCACCTTTTGAAACCATGGATCTGAACCAGACAGAAATGTTATCTTATAGTAAATTCTTTTAGGTGGTTTAAATTCATAATTTTTACTGTTTCTTCCAATATGATTATCATCACCTATTCCTTCAGTCCATTCCCCAGATGTGACCTCAACAGATTCATTTTTGAAAATAGCATTAACATTGGTTTTCTCCAAAGATTGTTTTGGGGCATTTACAATGGGGATAACATCAGAAAATATGTCTTCTTCCCAGAATATAATTGTAGTATCTTCAGATTCATGTTGCGACATTTTCAAGGTCCTTTTGTGACAATGTCATGTTCATTTTGCAGTATTGTCATATTCATTTTGTAACAGTTTCTTTCATTTGCAAAATAGTGATCTCATTTGCAGTTTTTCCATTTTATTTTTTAACATTGTCATATTCATTTGTAGCATCATCATATTTCTTTTTGTGCATGTGAAATTCTCATGTTCCTTTTTCCGGCATTGTTAAATTCATTTCGTAATATAATCATATTATTCTACGTTCACGACATTGCCCTATTCATTTTGAAAGATTGCTATTTCATATGCAACATTGCAAATTATATTTATAACATATTAGTTTGTAACAAGATCATGTTCCTTCTTGTGACACAGACTCATTCATTTTGTATGATGTCATATCCCATTCATAATGTTGCCATATTTATATTTATGTTACAACATTGTAACAATTTGTAACATTGTCACATTCAATTGTAACATTATCACGTTCCTTTTCTAACTTTGTCCTATTTTGTTTGTGATATTGCCATAGTCATTTTGGAACATTATCCTATTCATTTTGTCACATTATCCTATTAATTGTGGAACATTATCCTATTCATTTTGTAACATTATCCTATTCATTTTGTAACATTGTCACATTCATTTTGTAACATTGCAAAATCCACTTGCAGCATTGTTGAATTAATTTTACAGCTTATTTGGCAGCAGCTTTCATGATCTGCAACATTCACATATTTGTTCACAACTTTGTCAAAACCACTATTAGAATAATTACCTCTTATGCAACTACCAGCTAAAAGTATTCGTTTTGATTTGATTATCTAGCTCATAATACCATTGGGATAGGGGATAATGAACTTAGTCCAAGAGAAGTGTCAAATTAGCAACTTATTTGATTAAAGTTTATATATTTGTTTTATGTTTTCTTTAAATATTTCAAACACAATATAATTCTTTTATGTTTTCCATAAATATTTCAAACACAATATACTGTAATTATTTTATGTTTTCAATAAATATTTCAAACACAATATAATTCTTTTAGGTTTACAGAATATAATTCTTCTTTGTTTTCCTCTTTAGGTTCTACATCTAGATTCCTCTCCTTTGAAGTCTTGGACACCATGTAATTTTGTTTTTTCTTTAGAAACCATGCACGTCCACTATGTTTTCATTGAAGGTTGTAAACACTATGTAATTCTACTACGTTTTCCTATTTATGGTTTTAGTCATAATCTAATTCCCTTTAGGTCCTAGATATCATGTAAATCTACCTTTTCTTTAAGGTTTTCAACACCATTTATAACTATGGTTTTCTTCCACTATGATTTTGACAATTAGACACCTTGTAGTTCCACATTTTCCAATAAGGTTTTAAACACACTGGACCTGTAATTACATGATGTTTTCCAATAAGGTTTTAAACACACTTTGCTTGTAATTCCACTATGTTTTCCAATAAGGTTTTAAACACACTGGACCTGTAATTCCACTATGTTTTCCAATAAGGTTTTAAACACACTGGACCTGTAATTCCACGATGTTTTCCAATAAGGTTTTAAACACACTTTGCTTGTAATTCCACTATGTTTTCCAATAAGGTTTTAAACACACTGGACCTGTAATTCCACTATGTTTTCCAATAAGGTTTTAAACACACTGGACCTGTAATTCCACTATGTTTTCCAATAAGGTTTTAAACACACTGGACCTGTAATTCCACGATGTTTTCCAACAAGGTTTTAAACACACTTTGCTTGTAATTCCACGATGTTTTCCAATAAGGTTTTAAACACTCTGTACATATAATTCCATTAAAGTTTGCCTTAAAGTGTTAAACATCGCAATATTACACCGAGATACGATGGTAACATTTTCGTCAAGGCTTTATGTTATCAATGCAAACTCCTACTTCTACCTTTACAATATCCTAAATCATTTGCATTCCAATCCTTAAAATCCTATGTTGGTTGTGTTTTAAATTGTAAAATAAAAATTAAAAAAGTAGAATTTACAAAACATAAAGAGAACAGCCTCAAGCTTACACTCTAAATTGTATAGAAATGCAAAAAAATTAAATGCTTCAATCAAATTTAAGAGAGAAAATCCAAGAAATAAACACAAGCAGAGAGTGATTTTAAACGCAGTCGATATACATAATCCAAGTCAGTTCTGTTAATTTTCAAACCTGTAAAACTAATACAAAGATTACCACCAGGTTAAACCCTACTCAAAATTCCTACATAGATACAACGTAACTTCAAACTTCAAGTGACTACCAAATACCTATGTAAACGAGAGACCATATCAAAATCACATTTTACTCAGTTGCTTGATTTCTTATGAACCTGGAGGGATTGATATGAGCAAAACTCTTATTAATAAGTCAGCAGGGAGGGGGTTTTCAACGGCAAGGAGGGAGGGGGCATCAAACAGCAAATTACACCTGCCTATCATAAACACTTCAGTCAGTGTTTAATCAGTTTAACTAAGAATAACTTGATCTAGATAAAACACTTCCCACCAGTTTCTCTCTTTTCCAATTTTTTTATTTGAAACACCAAACCACATTGATTTTCTCGTTATGAACTTGTGTCCCTCAGGTATTTCGTAGAGAATGTACAAAATTATCATTTTCACATGTTCTCTTACACTATTTTTTCATGATTAATCAAAAATCTCAATTTTAGCTCAGAAAGGTGCAAACAAGATTCCAAGTGGGTGCAAGCATTTTATATAGAGTCCTAGGTGGGTGCAAGCATTTCCATCAAAAATCAGAACCAGGTGAGCACATATATGCCAAATATCATGGGACGCTCCCTAAGAGATAGGAGCGAAGCTTATCAACAAGTGCGGCATGTACTTTGTAATATAGCAATCATCTGAAGAGGCCTGTTCGTAAATAAAGCATAACAACAGTGGCATTTTGAAAAATAGAGAGAAAAAGTATTGAATTACCAAGGAATAAAGTATGCAGACATGTAAATAATACTCTAAATTGTACAGAAATGCAACAAAATCAGGCAGTTCAATTAAATTTTAGAGAGAAATGGATGCCAAAAGTATGACCAGATAAAAATCGTTATCGCCAGGTTTCAAAGGATTTGGGCTTCTTTCTTGTTTATCAATGTTCTGGATTCGAAGTGGATTAAAAGTGGAGATTGATTTCAAAGCATCAATGGCAACATTCAAAAAAACAAATAAAGCATCATTTTTAGCAAACACTCAAGAAAATCAATCAATCAAATAAAATGACAATCAAAGAATGGAATAAACAAACAACCAATTATATAATATACTAGATATAGTATACTGAACAATCAACCAATGAAATGAACAATCAAATACACTTTACAATCTATGAATAAAATAAATAGTCAACCTATATGCTGAACAATCAATCATTTTGACAAACAACCAATAAAATGAACAATCAACCTATATGCTGAACAATCAATCATTTTGACAAACAACCAATAAAATGACCAATCAACCTATATGCTGAACAATCAATCATTTTGACAGACAACCAATAAAATGACCAATCAACGTATATGCTGAACAATCAATCATTTTGACAAACAACCAATAAAATGACCAATCAACCTTGAATATGTGAAGATCTAGAAATGCTAACACATTGAAATGTAAATATAAACACTTTGAAATATGAACACCTCAAAGACCTTGAAATTATGAACACTTCATGTTGATTAAACTGGTGTTTATATTTGACAGATACCCTTTCCTAATTACTAGGCTCTAACATTTGACAGACTGAACCTGTTCTATTGAAATATATATATATATCTTTTATTGACTCTTTAGATGTCATATCATGACATATTAGTCACTAAGGTAGAGCAGTTCTTCCCATTGTCGAGTTGAAGAACTGGTATCTTTATTCTGGCTAGAACCATAGACAATTCTAGCCAGCGCCAGCCTTTTATCGAGTTAGCAGCACTCTAGTAATCGCCAGTATAGGTCAGCAGTCATAGGTCAAAGACAAATCACAAGAAGTGCTGTGACCTGGGTTTGAACCCAAGACCTCTGCTTTTTCCAGATGCATTTGTATATGAATAAAGATGATCATGTTTCAAAGAAAATCAGGCCCATAGCCATTTGGAGGGGGGGGGGCGGCCTTGGGGTTCGAGCAACGTCGCCCCCTCCTTTTTCTAAAAAGTAAACCCTCCCTTGGCAAATCCTGGCTACGGGCCTGGAAATAAGAGTGAAATAAGAATGGAATAAACAAGGAATAAACTAAACAGGCATGTAGTGAACACTCTAAATTGCATAGAAATGCAAGAAAATTCTAGAAAAAGTCTAGTCAATTTCTAGAGATAAAAGAAAAAAAGAAAAATGTGAAATATGAGAGACCAGGAAGATGATAGTTATTAGGAATATCAATATGTGTATGAACCATCTAGATGATCAATATAACAAAATAATACGCTATCATAGTAATGTACTTATAAACATCTGTTACATTAAATATTAAACCGGTAAGGTCACAATAACCCGCAGTATTTTAGAAGCACAGTTAAGTTCAGCAGGTCCTACTATTCTCCTACTACCCGGGTATCAAAGCTCAGTACATCAGCGAAATAGGCCCGTAGCAAGAATTCACCAAGGGGGGGGGGTTTCACTTTTTAAAATATTCCAGGGGGGTTCACTTTTGACAACTTTGGCCCAAAAGTGGCCAAAATCACTTGAAAAGTGCTCAGAATTTTTGCCCTGGGGGAGATTCACTTGAATCCCCTGAACCCCCCCCCCGCCTATGGGCCTAAGTTATTGTACCTGTGCCTCTTCTATATAGTGGTTTGGTGGTGGTGGTAGTGGTACTCTTCCGATCCAATAGTTTGATATTTGCTTTAAATGAGAGCATCATCTAGTACACCTTACCTACTGGGCTCTAACACTGAGGATACTACAGGGTGGGCCAAAAAAGGTATTAGAGTCCATTTCACTGCTTCATTTCGTCAGTAGAACAGCAAAAATAAGAAATTGGGAGACCATTGTGCAATAATATATGGAAAAGTATATTCATAATGTACATGAATGACATTTGTATATTTCAGATTTTTTAGTTTTTTGTGCAATAAGCTTGTGCCCTCCTGTAAATTGAAGAATTTCCGCCATGTTAATCTTATTGAAAATAACATGGCAGAGAAACATCCCAATATAAGAGGCCACACACTTTATAAGCCAAACTAGAAGCAATCCAAGATATACAAATGTCATTCATGTACAATAGGAATATATTTTTCCATATATTATTGCAAAATGATATTTTGATTTCTTATTTTTTAGCTTTAACTGACGCAGTTAAACAGTGAAATGGACTCTATAACCCTAGAAAATAGACCAATGAAACTTAAGAGAATAAAGAACATAGAATTGTGCCAAGTATTACCCATACTTGATGACTGAGTTATCAAGATTTGTTTAGGTAAACCTTTTTTTAGCTCACCTTGTACTTTCTATATCGTACACATAATCCCAGCCTTGCCCCAATTCCCTTTGCCCACCCCCTATGAGATGGTTGGGGAGGCCGGGTGTGGCAAGGACTTTCTGTAATTCGCCATGGACCTCCATTCTCTGAGTAAGGGAACTACGTGGCTACATCCAGGGAGCTACATAGCCAAAAAATCTTTCAAAATCATGCAGTTTTTCACCATTCTGAGCACATTTTCAGTGATTTTGGCCATACTGGACCAAATTGTCACAAGTGAACCCCCCCCCCCCCCCCCCCCCCCCCTTGGCAAATCCTGGCTACGGGCCTGTCATAAAACACTTAATAATTTAAATAGCTATAAAAGTCTAGAATGAGTCATTCTGAATCATAAACTACATGTACATGTAAAACGATAACCTTGTTCGATTTAGTAAATACAGTGAAAGTAAGTATTTTATGTGATCTACTTATACAAATTAAACACTCCGCCCTGTCAGGAATGTCTACGTACACTCATACACTCGAGTAAATTATTCAAAATATAAGTCCAAAATTTCTAAAATATAATAACATATAACTATAAATTATTATTGTATATGGTTTGAAAATATTTTGACCTACCTCCATCGTATGGTTTTAGTCCTAAAATAGTCCAGGTATGCACTCAAAATAAGCTCCTAATTATAAATACATGTACACATATGCAGGTAGATTTACCTGTGTGTGCTATAATGTGGATGTATACACATGAACAATTTCCTATATTTTACTTGTTGCTTTTCAATGCAAACCTTTAACGCCTATAAGACTGCATAAAAAATCCAATAAAATATTTTTAACATGTTACAAAAATTATCATTATTAAAATGTTTAATGTTAAACATACTGTAGGGGACTTTTAATGTATTTAGTATGTGTTTATGTGAAATCAATAAAAATTAGATTAGTTGTTCAAAAAATTATTTTATTCATATTAATAGTTTATTTCTCAGGATCTCTTCTAGTCAATGTAATGGCTTAAAATACAGGGGTCCCAGAATATTTTGAAAGTTTTGAACATTGATTTGAATTATGCTTTGAATTACATTTGTAATGTACAATTTTTAAAAAATTTTGTAACATTTGTTTGAAATGCTTGGAATGTACCATAGACTACGAAAATTTAACAAATATTCTGAACCCATTTACCCCCCCCCCCCTCTTTTTGGGGGCTTGCTTCACTTGCAGTGATGCAAACCCCAAAAATGCACCCCTTCTTGACAACTGCTGACTATGCCCCTGGTAACATATGAGTTTGGAACACATTGCAAATATGGTTACAAAACTGTAACTATTTGTTACGGACACCAAATGCTGACCATCAATGCCAAACACACAAGTCACAACAAAATGGTAGCTTTACAGGCCCGTAGCCAGGATTTGCCAAGGGGGGGTTCACTTTTTGAAAATTCCAGGGGGGTTCACTTGTGACAATTTTGGAACTATACTGAACGTCACTATTTCAGGGGATGACATAAAATTGGTGAATTCTGCTGTGGATTGTTATGTGTGTTAAATGTATTCTAATTATATTAACCAATAAGATATAATGATGCCCCTAAGAATTTAAATTTTGTTATAACTGTCAATGCTGCATGATATCCTAACAAGCAAACCAGAAGGCAATGGAAAAACTTGCCCTTTAAAATGCCTGGACAACATTTATTAAATTGCCGCTTTGATTTATAGTCTTCCAAATTGATCAATAATTGATCAATAAGCATAAACCGTTTTATCTTCCTTCCATTTGATGATATTACAGTTGTCATGGTAACTATCAAAAAATCAATTCGCAATCACAACTTACATACAAATTATCAAAAATAATTCTAGTTTATTGAAAAAAGATGAAAATGGACTAATGGATTATGGAAAGTTCGGTTATTTTCCAAAATAAGTGAACCGAAAACTCCAATCAGAGCATTCTAGGATTCGGAAGAAAAGAATGTGATATTTGTCTTTTGCCAGCCAAAAATATTTTTTCCAAGAATCTTTTCACAATCAGAAATAATAAGCGGCAACAATATGAAACAAGAACACAAACGTGTACAATATGTCCCCACCTATGGGTAATCCTGTCAAATGATTATCCTAAAAATGAGTAGACAAGACTTTACCGACACAATTTGAGGACGGAGAATCCAAAATGGCCATCTTAAAATTTACCAAGAATGACAAAAAATTAGTCAGTTCTAGATTTTCATACTAAGAACCACCCCTGAAAATTTGAAATTGATCCCTCACACAGTTAACCAGAAAACATGTAAACAAGACGTTACAGACGAGATTTGAGGACAGAAAATCCAAAATGGCTGCCTTGACATTTATCCAGAATGCCAAAAACTAATCTGTTCTAGATTTTCATACTAAGAATCATCCCTGAAAATTTAAAATTGATGTACCAAACAGTTCACCTGGAAATGTGTAGACAAGACTTTACAGACAAGATTTTAGGACAGAAAATCCAAAATGGCTGCCTTGACATTTACCCAGAATGCCCAAAAACTAATCAGTTCTAGATTTTCATAATAAGAATCATCCCTGAAAATTTGAAATTGATCTACCAAACGGTTCACCTAAAAACGCGTAGACAAGACTTTACGGGCAAGATTTTAAGACGGAAAATCCAAAATGGCTGCCTTGACATTTATCCAGAATGCCGTAAAAATTATCAGATCTAGATTTTCATACTGAAAATCATCCCTGAAAATTTGAAATTGATCTACCAAACGGTTCACCTGAAAATGCGTAGACAAGACTTTACAGACACGATTTTAGGACGGAAAATCCAAAATGGCTGCCTTGACATTTACCCAGAATGCCCAAAAACTAATCAGATCTAGATTCTCATACTAAGAATCATCCCTGAAAATTTGAAATTGATCTACCAAACGGTTCACCTGAAAACGCGTAGACAAGACTTTACAGACAAGATTTTAGGACGGAAAAATCCAAAATGGCCGACAATAAAAAAGTGATTATGAGTTTTTGCTGAAATCTTTTTACAAAATTATCACATATACCTACTGTTAACAATAACATAAGCTTTTACAACAAAGTACACCTGAAATTATTTATAAAGCTACTAAAAAGTTAAAGCATGAAAACTGAAAAACACCATTCAATATGATACAAAGTATTATCGTGCGCTAACTTTTCTTAAAACATTCAAAATGGCTGACATGACTGAGCTAACAGGTCCAAAACCTAATCAGATCTAGAATGAAGTGAGCTGAACAAGATGTTAAAGTTTTAAAAGCAACTGTGAAGCCGTTTTTCTTAAAGTTTGCAGACAAGGATTTTAGCATTTGACTTCAAAATGGCCGACAGGAAGTAGGTATCGAGTTAATTTTTTTTCATCCACATCTGCATGCACTCATAAATTATCCCTGAAAATTTGAAGGTGATATCTGCAGCGGTTTTGGAGAAAACTCCCGGACGTACGGACGGACAGACAGACGGACAGACAGACGGACGGACAGACAGACGGACGGACAGACGGACGCGCCTAGGCCGACAATATGGCCCCACACTATGTGGTGGGGACATAAAAACAAGTACAGATGAACCCCTAAATGCTTATTAACTAAGTTTGTAATCAATTTCACATCAAAATAATAAGCGGTGACAACTATACAATTAATCATCCAAAGCCTCATTAAAAAGGTAGGCTTTCTTTTGCTCATAAGATTAAAGAGTGAAATCAGCAAGGAATAAACTAAACAGACATGTAGTTAACACTCAATGGTCATCTTTTGAATGGTAACAATATAATTTGAAATAAATATATATAGTTTTCTCGATATTGTTTTAGAAAACACATCAGAAACTTCTTTTGTTCTTGGTATCATATGTTCGGAATGAAATGAAACGTCTATCCGAACCTCATTGGAACAAAACGACATAAACACAATGTGTTTAGGTCTCTCAATTTTGTAATTGTACAAAGGAAAGTTTGGTTGATTTAAAAAAATCTTGTTAATGAAATAAAAGGTTTATCTTAATTCTTATCTATTTTGGTTTTTTTTTGGTTTTAATTTTTTGAATACCTTTTGTAAAATCAACCAAAATGTCCTTTGTATAACTATAATATTGAGAGGTCTAAGAAAATGTTGTATATGCTATTTTGTTCCAACAAGCTTCAGAAATATATTTCATTTCATTCTCAAGAATTGGTAGAAAGGAACAAAAAACAGTTGCACTAAAAAACAAAAAATGTTAAAAAATGTTAACAAAAACAGTTAAATAAAATATATTGTTTGTATACTACTTATATGTAATATTGACGCACCTTTGAGTGCCACTGTTATAAAAGTGACTGTCAAATAAATAATAAATAAATAAATAAATATATAAATTATTTTTGCATTAAATTTTTGTCAATCAGTCAACATTACATAAAGGACCATGTTTCTTTACAGAATGTTTTCAATAATTGATTTAAGAGGAAAACATTGTTGAATTCAGTTCACCATATCGATACCAATCCTTTAAGAGAGAAATTTAGTGAAATAAGCATGAGCAGACGGACATTTTAGAAAGAAATGCCATACAATAAGCATCATCAAACTGACATTTTCATTAAGTTATGGCATCAAACACTTATCTCAAACACATAGAAATTATCTGCAAAAAATATATTAAGTGAAATGTCATTTGGATGGGTAACAAAGCGATCACATTGTCAGATCAAAATGAAAAGCAGACTTGAAAAATTGCTCAATAAATGTCATTAACTTTCACGAGCCATCATTACTGAAATAAATTAACTTTCCTCATTTAGATCACTTTAATAACCCACTGTATTTATTACCAGGAAAATCTCGCAATTGACTCGTTTAAAAAACGTGAATTCGAAAATACAGAGGTTTAATAAGCATCAAAAACTTGCATGTAAATGATGAGGAAAAAATAAGAAATCTGAAGAGTGACATTTTTATATATCACAAAGAGAAAGGACATCACATGGGCATCAAAAACTAAAATAATGCGAGGTCTGAAGAATGTAAGGGCTGAGTAGTCAGAGTGGAAGAGAAACAATCACACACTAGGGAAATATTCATTGAGGTTAAGCTTTGAGATATTTTAAATATCCTCATCTGGAGTAAGGGAGATAAATTATACCTCCTCAGATGTAAATCATATCTCTCTGGGATTAATTATGTTTATATGATAAATTAATAAAATAAAGAGAATTATTGGATGTCACGCCATTGTCACGGGTCACATTGACCCCCTTCACTAAAAATTATTCATGTTGAAGCATTTAGTTAACAGGATCTCTCATTTATTATTCAGGGGATCAATTACCCAGAGCAAGAGCTCAACTAAATTTCTACTCTTCAAAATTGAGATACATTTTTTATCCTAGCCAATAACCAATCAGAACGTGAAGTCAGGTTTTGATAATAAATGTACTGCATTTATCACATATAAGGTACTAACATTAAATTCCCATTCAAACTCCCATAAATACATTGAAATCAATTCAGAATGACCTTATCAGTATCAAACTGTTAAATCCTCTGCAATAGTCAGAGTGAAACTGCTCAGTTTACAGGGTATTATGATCTATAAAATACAAAGCACCATTAGTAAATGAATGAGCCATGCCTAAAAAATGTCGTCTACTTTTTCTTTTTTCACTCATTTCTCTCTAAAATTTGAATGAAGTGTCTGATTTTTTGCATTTCTATA